TTGACTGTTATTTTAGGCTCTGAGCCTGAGAAGTTAGGAACTTTACTAGAATGGTCTGCAGCACAGAGTTCCCTGGGACCCGCCCCAGATATTCTGATGTAAATTGGTCAGGATATGACCTAGACATGAAGATTCTAAAAGCATCTAGGGTATTCTTATATGCAACCAAGTTTAAAATCATGTTAAGACAGCGGTTCTTGGCTGGGCGCGGTGGTTCACACCTATAAATCCTAGCACTCTAGGAGGGTGAGGCGGGAGGATTGCTTGAGCTCAGGAGTTTGAGACCAGCCTGAGCAAGAGCAGGGGCTCCTTAACCCTCAGGGCACAGTCGAATAACCTGGGAGCTTCCTCCTGGTGGAATAAACATCCAAGCATCAGTATTTTTAAAAAGTCTCTCCAAGTTTGAGGCTGCAGTGAGCTATGATTGCACCACTGCACTCCAGCCTGGGTGACAGAGCGAGCCCTCATCTCTTAAAAAAAAAAAAAACTCTCCAGGTAATTCTAATGGATAGCCAAAAATGAAAGCCACTGCTGTCAGTCTTTGGTCCTCCATGTTTCCTTGTTCCACTTGAGGTGAAAATGAGCTAAATTCCTATCTGTAGCCATTAAAAACACAAAACTAAGTTGAAGGTGGATTCAACATCTAGAATCCCAAAATACTTACAAAGGGGACTAGAGAGGTGTCCCTGGTGAAGTTGTCTAGTGTTCTGGAATTTTTCAAGTTTTCAGGATGCTGGTAGCAGGGTCTAGTTCTGGCATTGCCTTAAACCTGGAGACAGGTAATTTGGCTTTTCTGCAGACTGTACTCAGGTGGGTTGGTGCCCCTGTCTGTGTGTGTATGGAGCTAATGTTTTGTGTGTGCTTAACACAGTACAAATAGTTGAAGTCCTAGGAGGCGGAGAGAACCACTTGTCTTTGCTACCTGGAGTTAGTAGAGGATGTTTCAAAGAAGAGCCACGCTCTCACCCACTCCTTCCAGGGGGAGTTGCATTCGTATGGGGAGAAGGCTGAAGAACAGGATGTCAAGAGAGAGCTGCCCAAGAATGTCCTATCCAGGGTGTTTGCGAGATATCAAAGAGAGCTACCAACCCAAGTGGCCCCGTGCACTGGGCCACATCACACCTTTGGGTGGATGGGGTAAGGCTGTGGAGTAGCAAAAGGACCTTCAGTAGCAGGTACTTTGTGTACCTTCAGTGGCAATTTATCTTGTGTATTTTAAAGCAAAAAAAGGGCAATACGAATAAGAGAAAAACCCTCAGGGAGAAAAGTTGAGCATTCTGTCAACCGAAATATTTGGACTTGTCCTTTGCTCTATTCCTTGTAAACCCTTATGTTAATACAACTTTTAGAAAAACCTTACTCTTGGTATCACATAAACTTGGATCTACCACAATTTAAATGATGTTCCTGCAAACAGATTTCCCCGGGAAAAAAGTCAGCTACAACTCGGTGAGTGTCCAAGGCAGGCATCCGCCTGGTCTCTGGCTCCAGCCCCATGTTGTAGGTATTCACCTCCCAGGCCTCCTCCAGTCAAGTCTCCCCATTCTGTGTCCATCTAATCCCTCAAGGCCCTGCCAGATGCCTGGTTTTTTATTTGTCTCAAATAAATGTGTGGAATCGAGATGTCAAATACTGATAATGCAAAGCACTTACGCAATTACACGAAAAGGAAATCTGACAAAGGAAAGGATGTTCAACCTCGCCAGTAATCAAAAGAATGCAAATGTGATGTAATTTTTCAATTACCAAATGAACAAAGGTGAAAATGAATGAAAATGCTAGAGTCTGAGAGACTAGGGAAATGGGAGATCGCATGCCCCTTGGGGGAAGTGTACAGTGACACCAGCTTTCTGGAAAATAGTTGGGCAATGTACATCATAAATGTAAAAATGTGCAGAGACAGAAATTCCACTTCTGAGAGTTTATCCTAAAGAAATTATTGAGCAGGGACTAATGATGTTCAAACCAGCCTTGTTTATAACGAAGAATAATTATAAATAATCTGAATGTCCACCAAGTGAGAACTACACATACCAATTATGGTACATTCGTACAATGGAACACTGAAAAGACTTCAAAATGATATGATATTAATAATAGGCATGAAAGGGTGTCCATTAGATATTATGTCCTTGAGGCCCTCGTAGTGCCCTTAATGTAAGGTCAGTGCACGCACACGCACACGTGCATGCACACCAATATCTAGAATGGTCGTCATGGAAATATCAACTGTGATGTCTTCTGCTTGGGAGAACTTTAAATAACTTCACTTTCTTCTTTTTTTATTGTTCCTAAAGTTAGCAAAGTAATATTCTTTATTTTTAACTTAATAGCTAATACTAACAGAGTATACTTTATGTGCTAGGCACTGCTCTCATTGCTGTATGCTGTTATTATTCCTGAAGAAAACAAAGGTGATGGGAGATTAAATAACTTACCCAGGGTCCACAGCTAGTGAAAGATGGAGCTGGGATTCGAAACCTGGTAACGTTGCTCCACAGACTGCACTAGTACTACACTAGTTAGCCCTAATCGAGTGACAGTCTCTTAAATCCTGCCCCCTAACAATCCCACTCCTATGCTCAAAAGTCACCGTTGTTAACCATGTGACATTGATCCTTCTAAAACTTTTGCTAGCCATGTCCAGACACATGCATACACATGCGCGTGCACACACACACGTGTGTTTTTCTTTTTTTATAAAATAGGGTGACAGTGCCCATCTTGTCCATATATAAGCTCACCCTCATACTTTTATTTAGCTATGGAGAGTATTCTACAGCACGGATGCACAGAATTGATGGAATGATGCTTCGCCGAAAAACTGGCAGTTTCTTCATCCTAACAGACACAGCTGCAGTGAGCATCCTTGTATACATTCTACGGGATGCAGAACAGTGATTATATTCCTGTGATAATTTCCTAGAAAGGGAACCACTGGGTCCAAAGGCAGGCACATCAAATGTTGAAAAGGCTGCCCACATCATGAAAGTTGCCATTACACCTGCAGTCTATGAGTGGCCATCTCCCATGTTTGACACAGGATGTTGTCAATCTTTTTAATTTTTGCCAGTATGAGAAATGAAGAATGTTATTTCATTTGTAGTAATTTAAATGTCCTTGATTACTGGCAAAGTTGAGCATCTTTTCATAGGTTTATTGGCCATCTTCATTTCTTCTCAGAATTGTTTATGTTCTACTGGGTAATTTGAGGTTTTTTAATTAATTCAAGGGAGTTTTGTTGTATTATAAATATTAGACTTTTGATGCTTTGTTGCAAATAATTTTCTCAGTACATCTTTTTCTCTGAACTTGGTTTATGTATTATTATATAGAAGTTTAAATTTATTTTATTTTTATGTAATCAAATCTGTCCATTTTTTTTCCTTTATGGATTTACATCTTTTTTAGGAAGTTTTACTCCACTGTATTCTCCAAGAATAAAGGAAATATTGTCCTGGCCGGGCGCAGTGGCTCATACCTGTAATCCTAGTACTCTGGGAGGCTGAGGTGGGAGGATCGATTGAGGTCAGGAAATCGAGACCAGCCTGAGCAAGAGCAAGACCCCATCTCTGCTAAAAATTTAAAAATTAGCTGTGCATGGTGGCGCATGCCTGTAGTCCCAGCTACTTGGGAGGCCGAGGCAGGAGGATCACTTGAGCCCAGAAGTTTGAGGTTGCAGTAAACTAGGCTGATGCCACTGCACTCTACCTAGGGCGACAGAGTGAGACTGTCTCAAAAACAACAAAAAAAAGAAGAAATACTTTTCTATATTCTCTTCTAGTACATTTACATTTTTGTTTATAGATTTATTTTTATGTTTAGACTTTAATCCATGAAGAATTTAGTATTGTGTTTGGTCAAAAGTAGGGACTTAACTTTTTTATGTTTAAGTTGGCTGTCTTTTAAACCAGTCCGCCAAATCCCAAATTCCCATGTGTGCCCAGGGCTGTGTCTGGACTGTTCTCCCATTGATCACTTGTCTATATCTGGCCTGGAATCACACTGTTTTAATTACTCGAGCTTTTAAGCACGTTTTTATATCTGCTAAAGCATGTCCCATTTCTCTTCTCTTTTAAACTTTCCTCAACCATTCTTGGACATTTACTTTTTCAGAGGAACTTTAGAAGTAGATAGTCATGGTCCAAAAATCCTCCCTTGGGATTTCAATTGGAATATTAGTAGAATGAAGCTACCCGCTAACGTGAGGTTGACGTCTCACAAAGGGATCTCCAGCCAGGACTCCTTGCCCCCCGGCGGCTCTCCAGGCAGTCAGGTGCTGCTCCCTGAGCGAGAGGAACAGGGGGGTGCTGCCTCTGCCCTGCATCTGAGGCCTTCCTGTGCGACCCCCTCCACCCCAGCCTGTGATTCCAAGGCTTCTAGAAAGGAGAAATTCCTACACATCTTTGGTTTAATTTCTTTCCTTCCCCAGATGACATGTGGATTTTAACTGGAACTTTCAGAACCAAATCCAGAGTATAAAGCATGGAAACCTCATACCCTGGAGCAGAACCCAGGGGGAAATATAATACATTTTGTCAGAGAACATTCTTGCTGCTCCTAGCAAACCGCACTGAACACTCATATGTGACCAGCCTGGGGTAACCAGGTTCCAGTTGAGACTTTTTTAAAAAATAGCTTTATTGTTACAGATTAACTTGAAATTCTCTTATTTTAAGTGTACAGTTAAGTGATTTTTAGTAGAGTTGTGCAACCATCACCATAACTCAATTTTGGAACGTTCCCATCACCCCCAGAAGACCCCTCATGCCTATTCATAGTCACTCTCCAGATGCTGTTTTGTCCTTAGTGTGACAGCATCAGGAGGAATTGGGGGGCAAAATGAGGGCATCCGCTAGAGATCCTCTGCCTGTGAGCCTAGAACGAACCCCAACAGCATAAATAGCATGACCCCAGATGACACCCCGTCCTGGAGAGACCCAGGTCGGGCCTCCTTCAGAAGGCGGTGGCCCCGCTGAGCCCCATCCTTCCCCTTGCAGGTGGATAAAGTTTGAAGAAAAGGTGGAGGAAGGAGGCGAGCGCTGGAGCAAGCCCCACGTGTCCACGCTGTCCCTGCACAGCCTCTTCGAGCTCCGCACCTGCCTGCAGACGGGGACGGTGCTCCTGGATCTGGACGGCGGCTCCCTGCCACAGATCATAGGTGAGGTGGGACCGCCATGGGCATCTCTCCCGCGGTGACGCCTGCCTGATTCTATGCAGACCAGCTTTGCCCCTGGCTCCCAAGGCCGCGTCACAGCCTCTCCGAGGCTCAGTTCCACGTAGCGCTCCAACAGAGAGGAAAAGATCATGCCCTGAAATGCTGCCCAGCAATGTAGCGACAGGGAGAGCAGCCTCTCGGCATGGTCAGAGACACCTCTTGCCATGACAACCTGTTTCTTCTCAGGGTAAAACGGACCATCATTCATGTTTAAGAAATTAGCTCTCATTTAGTGGCATGTCAGAGGCTTTCCTTTTTGCCCCTAAACATTTTTGTGAGTTTCGTTCTAGTACATTGGATTTTTCCAGAAGTCTACAGAAAGAGCAGAGACTTCTATCCACGCATGCACACACGTGCACACACGTGCACGCACAGAGACATGCTGCACCCTTGAACGTGCGGAGACTGAGGGTTGGTGATGTGCCCAGGTTTCCACAGTTAGTGGCAAAGCCGGGACCACTTCCGCATCCCCTGCCACCTCTAGGGCACGTTTAATCCCACTGATAACACATGAAACTGAGGCCCCCCTGGGGCTGTCGTGTCCCACATGGACAAGGCACATTTGTTTCCCACTCAGATGACGTCATTGAGAAGCAGATCGAGGACGGGCTCCTGCGGCCGGAGCTCCGGGAGAGGGTCAGCTATGTCCTCCTGAGGAGGCACCGTCACCAAACCAAGAAGCCCATCCACCGCTCCTTAGTCGACATTGGAAAGTCGGTTTCCACCACGAGTGAGTCGGGCCTCACGCTGGTGGGCACGGGGCATGCGGGGCCGGTGTCAGGCCTCAGTGCCTGGGTGAGCCCACCTTGGTGGCCAGGAGTTTCTGGAGAAATTCTGAGGGTCTGGGGATCCCTCAGCCTCCTTTTTTGGTAGTTCTGCAGGGACCCCAGCCACACACTCATGTTGTCCCCACCACCAGCAGAACAATTTCTAGGAAGAGAGTTGGTTCTTAGCCTGGGCTGCACAGTGCAGTCACCTGGGGGCTCGACATGTGTCCTAATGCCTGGGCCCACCCTGGAGAGTTGGACTCCGTTGGTCTGGAGTATGGCCTGGGGACAAAGAGGGAGGTTAGAAAGCTCCCCAGGAGATTCTCACGTGCACGCAGCTTGGCAAGTGCTGGTAGGGATGGCTTGTTTAAGAAAGGACCCGAAAGTTTCCCCCTGAACTCCGAAGAGGAGCCAAGAGCTTTGGCAGAAAATGGAGCACATGGGGTGGTGGAAGGGGCTGGGCTCGTCTCAAAGGTGCCAGGGCTGTAGATCTGGCAGCTGGTGTCGTTCTGGTTAGCAGAGCCTGGGGCCACTAGGGAGAGTGGATTGTTCCACGTACACATCTCAAACCTCCAAACCTCCACTGTCAGTTAAGTCTAGATGTCCAGAGACACTATCCATGTTGAATCTGTCAGATAAATGCAGTCACCAGAACAAAGTTGCTACATAGAAAACCTTGAGGAATCTCTTTAAATAAATTGTTTAAAAATGGAAAGTGTTTAACATATCATAACAAAAGATACACACTCAGCACTTACATGTCCAGGACACTGCTCGGAGTGTTCCTCCTGTGTTACTTCACTTCATCCCCACAACAACCGTGTGGCACAAGTGCTGTTCTTATCATCCCCATTTTACAGATGAGGCATCTGAGGCACAGAGAGGTTAAGTAACTTGCCTGAGGTCGCACAGGCAGCAAGTGGTGGAATCAGGGATGAACCCAGGCAGTCTACTACATCTGGTACCTATTCAATCAATCGTGTGTCTGTCTCCCCTTCAACAGTACAAGCATTTTCTCTGTATTCTTATTCAGATCATTAACTTACTTCAAAAAAAATTTCTTCCTGGAAGAGGAAGAGACATGTCTTGCAGCTCAGTTTTATTTAGTTGAAGTGACTCCACGCGTGTACCATGCTAATCCGAGAGGCCGCGCCACCCCAGCGAGGCTGCCCAAGCCGAGTCCTTTCTGTTCCTCCTCCCAGATCGCAGCCCTGCCCGGAGCCCCGCGGCCGGCCCGAGTCTCCACCACTCCACCGAGGACCTGCGGATGCGGCAAAGCGCGGGTTACGGCCGTCTGTGTGAGTGTGTCCCCCCGACAGCTTTGTTCAGGCTGTGGCAGCTGTGGAGTGTCCACGTTGTCATAGGTGGAGGACACAAGGCCCAAGATCTGGCAAGAATTCTCAGGACATGCATCAGGAGACGTTTAACATTCAGCCTGAGCTGCTCTCAGGGCCTAATTTACTACCATGATATTCCAAATAATTCCTCTGAAAAATGAAGCTCTACATGAAGTCCTGGCATAATCAATACCCAAACGCAAGTTCCAGGCATTTTTATTTTAATCTGCACCTTCGTGTTCACCAAACTGACCACTAGCCCTGTTTTTTTGGTGAAAAGCTTTCCTAGAAACCAAATTAAAAACAGGTTAAGTCCTTTCCCCAGGACAGTGAGGCAGTGTTCCCACCTCTGGGTGACAGTCTCGTGCCACCACAGAGAAGAAATGCAGGCAGAGTCACAGCCCCTGTTTGCTGGGAACAGATCAGGGGGCTTGGAAGGCGAGAGGTCGCAGACGGGTTTTCAGGCAGTTCATTGGGGATGCACAGATAGGTGAGGGGAGCCGGAAGGAGAAGAGATGGCTTGGAAAATGAGGAGAAAGAAAAAGCAGTATGCAGAAGTATGTTCCTTTAAATATTTTTACTAAAATGCCAAGATATGAACAAGTGCAGCCTGGGGCTGTGCCCCTGTCCAGGCCTGAGGAATGACTTGGGGGCATCGTGGCCCCTGCCCATGGCCTCAGCCCCAGCAGGCACTTACTGCAGTCTTTTCTGTCTGTCCTAAGGACCCCTAGTCCACTTAGTCCTCTGGCCTTACTATGTCATGCGTGGGTGCTGGGAGGCAGTGGCCAGTAGGCTTTGGGCAGACCTTCCCGCAGTTATCATTGCGTGTGAGGTCGCCTCCGCGCTGACACTGCTCTGGGGTGGGAAGCCCGAGAGGCAAGAATGGGCGAGTACAGCTTTGTGTGAGCCAGGGCGTCGTCAGGGTGTGCACCTGCCCGCAGGCGGCCCAGCGCACAGAAAGCAACACGCTGGGGAAGGCTAGAACAGTGGAGACACGGGGTGAGCCTTGGAGAATAACTAGGAGCTTTCCAGGAACAGGGCGTGGGGTTGGGAAGGGGGTTTCTACACAGGGAAAACCAACAGCAGCTGGAGGGAAGGTGCTGTCAGGGGAGAGAACATGGGGTCAGTCCACAGGGAGTGTAGGGGGAAGGCCAAACTGAAGAGGGCCCTGTGCCCCCAGCGTCAGAACCCGGACTTTATTCCGAAGATAATTGGGACCTCTGAGAAGCTTGAAGCAGGAGTAGGGCATGACCAGATTTCTGCCTGAGAAAGAATAAACTAGAAGGGGGCAAGATTGGAAGCAAGAGCCTGGGCCTGCACTCAGGAACAAAGAGGAGAGGACAGAGCCGGAGTTAATGACGGGTGGAAAGTGGGAGTTGGGGAAGAGGAAGGGACCACGTCCTAGATTTCCCCTCAAAGGGCCAGTGGATGGGAGGCAGGGACAGTGAGTGGAATAGGGTCCAAGAGGGGCCAGATGGGGCTGCTCCAGGGGAGATCAGACTGGAGATTCACCCTGGGTGACCTTGCCCACATGCATGGTGGGAGCAACAGGAGTGGATGTGATGACCAAGGAAGGAGAGGGCAAGGCATCTGGAGGGATTATGGGCAAAGACGAGAGTCCAAGGAGAGCCAGGCAAGAGAGGGTCCTGAAGAGAACCAAGGAGACCAGTGTTTGGGAAGGAGGGAGTGGCCACAGGCGAAAAGCTGGGACACGATGGGTCTGAGTGTGCCCACGAGATTGGCTGCTAGTGGGCAATGAGAGCTGACTTCCTCCCACCTTCACAGAGGAAGGAACTATCGGGCAGTTCATATAACTCACTCTCACTGTTCTCCTTGTGGTGAGCCCACCTTCCCTCCCTCTGCCAGCCCAAGTCCCCAGCCCATCTTTAACAACTCTCATGGGTCATGGAGGACGAAGGTGAAACTGGTCTCTCTCGACAACAAATTCCAAGCTTAGTGACACCTGGCACCTCATCTAATAATGCATCTCTGTCCCTCCTCCCATCCGGGCCTGGCACAGAGCCAGCCCCTGGAGTAGACATCCTGATGAGGTCCAGGAAGGTGGGGCTGAGGGGTAGAGACCCGAGTGCAGTAGCTTGAGAGGTGAGGAGGAAGAAGTGGAACCTGCAGTCTAGCAACTCTTCCAAGAAAGCTGCCACGGAAGGAAAGGAAAGTGAGAGGACACTGGCTTAAGGAGGCTGGAGGATTAAGGGGCAGGGAGTTCTTGCTTTGGTTATGAACATGGGCAAGGCATGAGTAGGGGCCAAGGGATGAGGACCTGAGAGAGCCTGGCCTCCCCTGATGGCCCTTCTTTTCCTTCTCTCCTAGGTCACGCCCAGAGCAGAAGCATGAATGACATTTCTCGAACCCCAAACACAGACCAGGTAGTAAAGCTCTCATGCTTGGCTGCAGTGGAGGGACAGGGCAGGAAAACGCTATTGGTTTCAGGGGTGGGGGTCCCCTTGGCCGAGCCCTACTCCCAGGAAGCATCCTGGGGGTGGGGGGGTCTAGGCTGCCTTGGTGACTCTGCACAGCCTGTCAGTCAGGTGCTGGCTCTGTGCTAGGTCCTGGGGAGAGTGGGGGACAGAGAACCACATCAGATAGTGCCAGCTGTCCTTGAGCTTGGGATCCGTTGGAAAGACCAGCACACATAGCTTCACCTCCCCTGACCCACCAGTGCCTTTAAAGATAGGTTAGGGATTGGGGCCGGCAGAGAGAAGGGAATAGATCCTCCCCATGGGGAGAACAATGATAGTTATTTAACTGGACCACCCAAAATCATGTGTCTTCTTCCTCGGCTGGGGCAAGAGAACATGGACTCTGGTCTCCCACTAACTTGATCTCTTGATGAGGTCAGCATCCTACAAGCAGGTGAAGTCCAGCTGTACGGCCCATGTCCCGGGAACTCTGTGACTGCACCCCCCAGGGAGGCCCAGAGGAGGCCCCTCAGTTCCAACCCTGCACATCTCAGGGCAGGAGGGTCCATGGTCCCCTTGCCTGTGCCCCAGGAATAGAAAGAAAGGTGACAAAGGAAATCTGAAACGTGGTGAGGAGCCCTCAGGAGTGTGGGTGACCTTCAGGCCTTCTAGCACCCCCACATCTGGTGGAGGGCAAAAGCAAGACAGTTCCTCATGTCAGGGGCCAGAGGGCCCTTTGTGGCCAAAATAATAAAATAATAACAACAATGACAAAATCAACCAACAAAATAATAAAATAATAACAACAATGACAAAATCAACCAACAAAATAATAAAATAATAACAACAATGACAAAATCAACCAACAAAATAATAAAATAATAACAACATGACAAAATCAACCAACAAAATAGTAAAATAATAACAACAATTACGAAAATCAACCAACATTTAAGGTCCACTCCCTGCCTGTGCTGCGCGTGCCAGGCATTTTCTGTGCATCAGAAGAGCACTAGCGCCATCCCCAGTTTACTGATGAGAGAACCCTGAGGCTTAACGCAGTTAAACAACACGCCCAAGTCTGTGCTGCTGAAAGGTGGCAGGACCTTGATGGGACCCAGGCAGTCCGACTCTAGAGCCCTTAACTGGGGAGTAATTTAGGAGCCAGTCAGTATTCCGGAATATTATTTGGCCAGGAACACCATTTTTAGTCATGCACACAGACGGTGCAGCCGTGATAAGAAAGCATTACCTAGTGAAAGTCTTTCATAATCTATTTTAATCAATGTGTAAGTGGTAATGACAACGCTAGTGTCGCCTTGCCCAGGCAATGCTTCCTTGGTTTGGGGATCGGAGCGCAGTCCTGGCGCCAGTCCCCCCGACTGCTCAGTACTCGCAGCATCAGTGGTTTGTGCGCCAGTGGGTGCTCTTTAGGTGCAAGCCCAGAGGCATTTGCTCTGCAGGCTGTTTCGTCATCCTCATTCTGTGCAAACCTAAACTCCATGCCTGCCCTCAGCCGGCAGGACCCTAGCGAACAGAGTGGATTCAGCACCACTGCCATGCTGCAGTGACGCCGCGGTGCAGAGCTGGACCAGAGTCCCTGTGGGTGCAGGAGGTGGGGTCAGCAGTGCCCTGGTTGTACAGGCCCACGTCCGGGTTGTGGCCAAGCCAAGGTGGCCAGAACATCAGCATACCCCCATTTCTGGGATGTCACCATCCTGGCCTCCTGACCAAACATGTCACAACCTGCAGTGAAGGACCAAGGCCCTGTTTCAATTCCTCTTCTCTCCTGGATTACAAGTGGTTTGGTTGGGCCACCCCAAAGTATTATTGCTTTCAAAGCCTCATTCTGCAGGACACTCTTGCCCACCTCACCTCTCCTCCCCTCCCCTGGACACCCTCCCTGTCTGATGCCCAGGAGCCCAGAGCTGGCACGGGGATGGTGGCTGCCCTGGCACACCCAGCCCTCCATCCTAAAAATCACTGCTTATTAATCAGCCGACTACGCCTGGGACAAAGGGACTTTTTGAGTCTCGGGGACTCTGGCTGTCCCGTCAACTTCTGCCCTTGCTTTCTTCACTATATTAGGATCCTTGGGGCTGTTGATGGTTGCCCGGGTGGTTGTGGAGAGGTTTTTTTTTGTTTTTTTTCCCGATTGGATTTAAAAGATTATAAAGGTGCAGCCCTCGCTGATGTGCCTCCCCCCATGCTGGTGGGCCACCCGGCCCAGTATGTGTCACGGCCCCCCACGAGTTGAATCAGGAAACAGTTGTTGGCACAAAGTGGCAGGACCTGTTGTCTGCCCAAGCCCACAACTGACCCCTCCATGGGGACAAGAAGAGACACAGGAGCCTCAGTCTTCTCTGAGCCTGCAAGAAACAGACATTTCTGTGCCCACAGGAGAGCTTCCAGCCAAGGGGGTATTGGTGGGAAAATTGTGGCATCCACAGGAGCTCTTTTCAGAGCTGGCTTTCCCTGCAGGCCCTGTCCCCTGTGTCGGCCACTGTGGACTGCAGCCGGCCCTGCCCTGCCCCATGCTCCCTCTCCTCACCCCACGAATCCATCTCTGTCTCTTGTCCCTCCCCTTGCTGCCCAGAGGGAAAGCAATCTGAAAAGTAATTCATTCTAAAATGTTAAGGACTAAGAAGAGCTTCAAAGTGACCATCCTGGGGGTATTTTCGCAGGAGGAATGAAGTCAGGAACACAGAGAAGGGGAATAAGTTTGGGCACAGGGTTTGTCTCCAGCACCTCTCACATCTGACCCCACCGGCTCTGCCTATGTGACCTTCCTGCCCTTTAACAGACACGAGTCAGAGGGCCTGGAGAGAAGCCACCTTGGTAGTCTCAAAGTTACGAGTTTCCTGGGAGGTATCCCAGGGCAGACTTGGGGGCACAGAGGTTCTCCCACAGATGTGGAGACTGGTCCTGGGGTTCCTGTGCACCAGAAAGCTGGCAGCAAAGGGAGAGCAAAGCCCAGCCACTTTGACCATCAGAACCAGCTAGAAGAATTTGTTCAAGTCCGGCCTTGATGCAGTCTGCAGGGGGTGGGGGAGTGAGAGCAGGTGGGAGTATCCATGGGTATCTCGTCTCTCCCTCCCTGACCAGCGGAAAAACAAATTTATGAAGAAGATCCCCAAGGACTCAGAAGCCTCCAACGTGCTGGTGGGTGAGGTGGACTTCCTGGACCAGCCGTTCATCGCATTCGTGCGTCTCATCCAGTCCGCCATGCTGGGCGGGGTGACCGAGGTGCCCGTCCCCACCAGGTGAGAGCCATGGAAACCTGCCCCAGGCCGCCCTCAGGAAGCCAGCTGTCCATGCCATCAGCAAGCAGTGCTGTTAGAGACACCCCTAAGTGTAGGGGCGTGCTGGGAAGGGAGCTCTTCTGACTAGGGGAGAGTTCTAGAGACTTCATTAAAAATAGTCATAAAAGAGGAGACAACAGCTGGGAGAGAAGCTGTCAGGTGGGCTTGGGCAGCAAGACAAAGATGAGGGTGCTCGAGGGGGAGCCCAGTGGGAGCGGAAGAGGAAATGCTCCGGCAAAGCAAATACCGGGCTGGAAGGAGGGAAGCGGAAATGTTAAGAATGGATGTTGTTTAGGGCCAAAGAATTCTTCTCTTCACCTTCTTCTGTTTTCCTTCTCACTTTCCTCCTCCTCCTCCTTCTCTTCTTTGTCTCCTCCTTTATCTTCTTTGCAGATTTCTGTTCATACTACTGGGACCTTCCGGGAGAGCAAAATCCTACAATGAAATTGGCCGTGCCATCGCCACCCTCATGGTAGACGATGTAAGTGGTAACCGGAAGCATGTCCTCCTGAATGTTGTGGTTCCTGCATCAAGCGCTGCACCTTCATTCATTCCCTATCCCGCAGGCACATTTGAGCACCTACTGTGTACCTGGTGCTGTGCAGGATGCTGAAGATCACGAGAATCAGGAAATAGGCACTGTCCTGCAGAAGGACCAATCGAGTGGGAGGCACAGACCTATGATAAAATGAACCATATGCTGGCTGCCCTGGGAGTCAGGAGGGCTACACAGATGAGGGGCCTTTAAAGCTAAGGATGACCAGGAGGGGCTTAGGCCCAGCACAAGCCTACAAGGCAAGCATCCCAGACAAAGGAAAGGGGTCAGGCTTGGAGAAGCTGGGTGGAAGTGGTTAGATGTAGGCTCAGTGTAAGAGCTTCAAGGGTGGGAGGTGACACGGGAAACGTGAGCCAGAGACTCCAGAGCCTGTAAGCAGAGCTGAGAGGTCACACTCTGCCCCCAGAGTGATGGGGATCCTAGAGACTTAAACACAGGCATAAGCCCATCAAATCTGTCAGTCAGAAAGCATGCATGCTCTGGAGACAGAGTGACTGCTGCAGCCAGGCCCTCCAAGGGCGAAGGGAGGTGAAAAATAGATGTGAAATATTTGAGCTCCTCGGATTGGGCTCTAATGTGCTTGCTGTGTAGAAAAGTGAAACCAGAAAGGTTAAGTAACTCAGCCAAAGTCCTACAGCAAGAACATGGAGACCTGTCTTCAGATCCAAGATGGGCTTCCGATCCATCGCGCCTGCTGTGCTGTGTTCTCATCCCAAACCCGAGAGCAAGTGGGCAGGGGAGCAGTGGTTCAGAGTGATTTCCTTGATTTTTTTGAAACTTGACACGAGCCCTTCAGAGAGGACTGACCTTCTCCCCTCCCTCCGCTCCCCTTGCCAGCTCTTCAGCGACGTGGCCTATAAAGCCCGCAATCGGGAAGATCTGATCGCAGGGATCGATGAGTTTCTGGATGAGGTCATCGTTCTTCCCCCTGGAGAATGGGACCCAAATATCCGAATTGAGCCCCCCAAGAAAGTGCCCTCTGCTGACAAGAGGTGTGTATCTGAGTGGGGAGTTAGAGGAGGTGGGGGGCACAAAGGGGGCTTCAACTCTGCTGGTATCATTTTATTTCTCTTTAAAAGAAACCAGAAGCAAATATGGCCACATGTGAACATTTGTAAAATCTGGGTGACCTGTGTGTGGATATTGTTCGATCACTTTCTGAATGTTTCTCTGTCATCAAAGATATTTCACAGTTTTTGTTGGAGAGGTGGGGGGTGTGCTGGGGGACAGTCCTGGAGGGGCTGGCCCTTCCCCAGGATTGGGGGCTACAGTCTCCCTGGTCCTCCTCCCCTTCCAGGAAATCTGTGTTCTCCCTGGCGGAGCTGGGCCAGATGAACGGCTCTGTAGGAGGAGGTGGCGGAGCGGCTGCAGGAGGCGGCAGTGGTGGAGGAGGAGGTGGCGGCGGGGCTGGCAGCAGTGGAGCCAGTGGAGCGAGCGGCGGGGATGATGGAGAGATGCCAGCCGTGCACGAAATCGGGGAGGAGCTTATCTGGACAGGAAGGTGCCCAGCCCAGGCCTGACAGTGACCTGGCTGTCCTTTAGGGTTCTCCACTTCTCTCTCGCCCTCTAGGGACCTTCCCTATCACTGCCTGTAGCGCCTACTGCAGGCCATGGGGTCTGACCGCTGTGCTGTCTCCCTCCCAGAGCCCTTGAACCCCCTCGGGAACCCAAAAAAGGGTGGCCTCGGGAACCCAAAAAAGGGTGGCCTCGGGAGGGGGACTGGGAGAGCAGACAGAGGGGTGGAGGAAGTCAAACTTTTCTCTAGACACCCTTTGGTGGCTGTTTCCTAGGGCTGCCACAACAAAGTACCACAAACTAGGTGGCTTAAAACAGAAAGTTATTCTCCCACAGTTCTGGAGGCCGGAAATTCCAAATCAAATGTCAGCGGGGCCATGTTCCCTCTGCGATTCCGGGGAGCCTCTTTTCTTGCCTCCTCCTAGCTTCCGGTGGTGGCCGACAGTTTTCGGTGTTCCTCGGCTTGCAGCTGATCATGCTGACCTCTGCCTCTGGCATCCTGTGGCCTCCTCCCTGTGCACCTCTGTGTTCACATAGTGTTTTCCTCTTTTTATAAGGACACCAATTATATTGGATTAGGGACCACCCTAGTGACTTCATCTTAACTTGATTACATCTGCAAAGACCCTTATTTCCACATGAGGTCACAATCACAGGTACTGGGGGTTAGGACTTCAATATATCTTTTGGGGAGATGTAATTCAATTCATAACAGTAGCTTCTTTTTTTTTTTTAACCAAATATTACCTATTCAAAAACTTTTTTTCTTTTTCTTTTTTTAAGAAAATTAGAGAAAATTCTCCTGGCACGTGTTTCTCTGACAGCTCTTGAGTCACTGAGGTTGATCTAGATTTGGGGAAGGACATGGCTCTGCAAAGCTACATGGAAATCATAACTTTGAGAATGAAGTCATGTTTTCCATGCCCTTGGCTCTATACCAGTGGTTCTCAACCGGAAGCAACTTTGCCCCTCCCTTACTCCCCCTATCCCCCAGCCCAGGGGATTTGGCAATGTCTAGAGACATTTTTGTCACAACTGAAGGGGAGATGCTACTGGCATCTAGTAGGTAGAGGCCAGGGATGCTGCTAAACATCCTACAATGCACAGGACAGCCACCCCACAACACAGGGATTATCCAATCCAAAGTATCAGCAGTACCAAAGTCGGGAAACCCTGCTCCATGCTAAGGACTGCATTAGGAGCTATGGGAAATAGCATCCCCAATAAACACTGTCCCCAAACCTGAAATTCCCTGCTTGGTTATTCCAGAGAGCAAGAAACCCCTGTCATAAATTTAGAATCTGTCCTTAATGATTCTGTGTTATAATCTGGAAGGTCTCTGTCTCCTAAAGTTGGACAAGCTGTGTTTCCCAAAGGACAGGAGCTCTGGGGATGATCAGGCATGTGAGGAAGGCCACCATCTGCAGACCCTAGGACTTCCGTTTCCATCAGACTGTCCCTGTCCCAAATAGGCTAAGTCCACCCTTCCCGGTATGGATGGTGCCACCACAAACTTTCAAATCCCAAATGTTCTGGTGGAGAGATCCTTGTCCCCATCCACCCCTGCTCAAGTTTCCTTCCTTGCCCCAGACTCTGCAGGTCCCTGTAAGTAGCCCCACTCCCGCCCCGGCGTTAGCGGTGAGAAAGCAGCCCCTGGGCCTGTCTCGGGCAGGTTCTTCGGTGGCCTGCGTCTGGACATCAAGAGGAAGCTGCCCTGGTTCCCAAGTGACTTCTACGATGGTTTCCACATCCAGTCCATCTCTGCCATCCTATTCATCTACCTCGGCTGTATCACCAACGCGATCACCTTTGGTGGGCTTCTGGGGGATGCCACCGACAATTATCAGGTGTGTGTGAGCTGGGGACGTTCATGTAAAACCAGTAAAATCTGCCGCCACCTGGTGGCAGCTGGGCCTTCTTCCTGTAATCCCCAAACCAAGGTTTCATCTACCATGTAGGTGGAGGCTGTCACTTTTGTAACTCTTGGCCCTTCAAAACAAAAAGTAATAATCTGACAGTACTAAAAGATCTAAAGCTAAATCAGGTTACTAAAGGCCAACTTTAAAGCCAATATAAATAAGTCAGATTTTTAAGGGGAATCATCTACTGTGTCGTTTGGTACTTTTCCCACTGATATTTGAATGAACTTAATTGACAACTTAATTGAGTTGCTAATTGTGGCTTTCTCCCCACGCTATTCTTTTTTTTTTAACCAACCTTGAATTCTTAGTTTGGAGTTAAGACATTTTTAGAAGGATAGTAAGCTGCTACCATGACGACAACACAGGCCTCCCTGGGAAACATCAGCTCAGCAAAGACACCAGCCCGACTCCCAGGCAAGGGTCTTATCCGAGGGGCCTGCAGGATAGAACCACAGGAAAGCTCAGCGCACCAAGGAGAAGGCCCATTTTCGTAGATAAATTGAGGTGAATGCCTATTGCCAGCCACACCTCTCTCCTGAGCTCCAGGTTCAATGTCCAGCTGCCTCCTGGGCACGTCCACATGGCTGCCCCTCAGGAGCCCCCAACTTGCACGGCCAACATTGCATCCATCATCCTCCCTCCTGACCTACTGCTCCCAGGCCTCCCCCAGCATAACACCTGACGCCGTGGTTCTCGCACCTGTTCCCGCCAGAAAGCAGGCCTCATCCCTGACTCGCCGATCCCCTTCCCCAGGTGTCCTCCTGACTTGGCCCTCCTTGCCTCTCCCTGCAGCCCTGCCCTACTCACCATTCCACATTCCTTTTTCCATCAGTCCTGATTGTCTTTGGGTTCTTCAAAGACACACTATCTTCCAGCTCCAGCCTTTGTACACACTGCCCCTCTGCCTAGGACACGCTTTCCCCTCACTCCATTTAACCCTATTCTCCTGGCCAATTCCCTGCCCATTTTGGGGGGTCTCTGCTTCCACATACGGACTTCTAGGGAGGCCTTCCTGACCACCCCCTCACTCCTACTGCGTGCTCCTGGGACCCTCAACCGATCCCACCCATCACACTCCTTGGCAGTGGCTGTCAACCAGGGATAGTTTTGACGCCAGGGGACATATGACAATATCTAGAGACAGTTTTCATTGTTGTAACTGGAAGAGGAGCTACTGCTATACTGGCATCTAATGGGCAGAGGCTGGGGATGCTGCTAAATATCTTGCAGCATGCAGGACAAACCACCGCAGCGAAGAATTACCTCACCCAAGTGTCCACAGCACTGAGGGTGAGAAATCTGCTGCACGGAAATCGCCTGGGTGCTTATCTGTATCTCCCACTGTCATCTTGTTCACCGATGGGTCCCCAAAACCTAGCACAATGACTGGTACATAGCAGGGACTCAATAGACATTGAATGAATGAATGGATGATCTGCCCTCTAAAAGGACCAATAGACGTTCGAATGAGGAATTAGATGGGTGAATGGGCTAGACTACTCTGGGAGTAGAATGGACACAGGGACAAGCATATCCACTGCTTTCTAGGCTCTAGGATGCCAAAAAGGTCACATGGGACCTTTATCCAAATAGGATTAGGGAGGGTGACACTGGCTATGGTGGCAAGTTGTGGCATAGGAGATGGGGAGCAGCAGTAGGGAGGAGAGGGCCCAGAACAAAGGACGAGCTCCGGGGCCTGGGCCCTGGGAGGGATGGCTGGGCCACGGCCTGTGTGGAGAGGCCCCTAGTCCTTCCTGCGCTGAGCCTATGCTCCCCATGTTCCCAGGGAGTGATGGAGAGCTTCCTGGGCACTGCCATGGCCGGCTCCTTGTTCTGCCTCTTCTCGGGACAGCCTCTCATCATCCTCAGCAGCACGGGGCCCATCCTCATCTTCGAGAAGCTCCTCTTTGACTTCAGCAAGTAGGTGCCTCTCGGTGGCTCCAGGTGCCTGCTCTCAAGCTTGGGGCAGTGTGGCGAGGCCAGGGCAGAGGAACAGACCCAAAGGGGAGGCTGGGGTGAGGTGCCAAAGCCACCCTTAACTACGGGGAGGGCTGCCGGGTGGTCCCTCCTGACTCCTGCCAGTCCTGCCTTTGAGCCTTCTTGGCGCATATTAGCACAGTCCACAGGGACCAGCTGAGACAAAAGGGGGCGATTTACACCACTCTGCTCGGGAGCAGCTGGGACTGGAAGTCGGTGTAGTGTACGAAAAGTCTTGGGCTAGATGTCAGAGGCTGCACCTGGACCCAGGCAGTTCCCGTCTCCACTCCAGGCCCAGTTGCCTCATCTACAGCATGAGGGTTGGGCTGGATCACTTCCAAGGCCTGCTCCAGCCTAGTTACTCTGAAATTCCCTGTTTTTCACTTACTCTGGGTGTGCCTTACCAACCGAGTGAGCACTGAGATGTCTTAGTGCTTCCTGTGTTTTCCTGCCACCCCCATGAGATCTCAAAGATCAGACAACTCCATCCAGGAATTGTCTCTGTCCCCAATCCTCTTACAGTCCCTAGGAGGGCATCTGTGCCATGCACGGGCTGGAGGCCCCTCCCCTTCCTTCTGCCTTCCAGAGGCAACGGCCTGGACTACATGGAGTTCCGCCTCTGGATTGGCCTCCACTCAGCCATCCAGTGCCTTGTCCTGGTGGCCACGGACGCCAGCTTTATCATCAAATACATCACCCGCTTCACCGAGGAGGGCTTCTCCACCCTCATCAGCTTCATCTTCATCTACGATGCCATCAAGAAGTTGATCGGTGCCTTCAGGTACTACCCCATCAACGTGGACTTCAAGCCCGACTCCATCACCACCTACAAATGCGAGTGCGTCGCCCCTGACACAGGTGACCGGTAACCCCAGACGTGCCGTGGACCCTCCCCCCCCCACCCACTCCCCCATCCCCACTACAGCTCTCTACTCAAATGCAGGAGACTGAGCCCGTGTGGGAGAGGCTGTCCAGCCCAGGGCTTATTGTTCCAAGGGAGCAAAGGCAGGGTCTTGAACCCAGTTTGCAGAAGGAAACCAAGGGGACAGTAGTTCTAATAAGAGTCTCAATATCAGCGTTCAGGGTTATAACCAGGAGGGCACAGGGATACCCGAGGAAGGAGTGAGGCATGCTTTGCCTCAGTGTGGGGTGGGGTGGTAGCCACATCCACCAGAAATGCTGCCCAGGCCAGAGATAGACCTACGATGTGTGAAGTCCCCCCAGCTCCACAGTGCATGCTATGATGAGCTCTGCCCAACACTGTGCTGCCAGTGGGGTCGCATACCTTGTAAGGTGAGACCACACTAGATGGATGAACATCCCTACAAGTGGGAACACGTCCAGGGTGGAGGATCCACCAACCAGTCCATTTGAGGAATGGCTGGCTGGAGAACCTGGGGATTATTCAGCCTCCTAGGGATATGAGACAAGAACTGTCATGTCACAGAGAGGCCGCATTCACCCTCTGGAACCACGGATGTAGAACAGAAAGGGGAATGAGGAGCAGAAGCTCCCGGGGGCCAGATACTGGCTGAATTTAGGGAAGAACTTACAATGGTGGGAGTCACCACCACGGGCGGTCTCGGCACCCTTGGCTGATAACAAGTTACTTGGTCACTCTCTGGATGCCCATCTGCCAAGGCTGTTGTAAAAGGGAGCCCCACACTAGGTGGAAGGCTGAATCAGCCAACCGGCTAACCTGATAATAGTGCCATTCCTGTGGAGTTACTTTCTGGCCAAAAAACTATCATCGGTAAAGTTAAGGCTTCCCATGGAGTCTTAGCCTCTTTCACAGCCATAATCCTGCCCCTAAGAGCCTTCTGTGGGCTGTGCCAGGATGCTACGGAGCAGGAGCAGGAGGTCCATCCACATATCTCCAAGCACCACCAGGCTGGACTCACAGAGAGTAGACTGAGGTCCAGAGACCACCCAAGGTCACATGGAGCCTCAGTTTCCCTCGCCATAAAAGAGGGCTAGCAGTGCTGGTCATGCCAGTCCCCTGGGACTATTGTGAGGTTTTCAAATCTATACACAGGTTGGGTTGGAGGAAATAAGTAGATATTGGGTTGTTCAGCCCCTTAATACATTATTATGGATAAAAATTTCATCACAGGTCACTCTAAATACTTGGGGCACAATTATTGTGTGCCCAGCTTTAGACCAGGCCTTGCAGAAGACAAAGATGTCCTGTCTTCAAGGAGTTGAGTTTTCATTATATCCCCTCTCCCTCTGTCACTGCACTGATTTTGTAAAGAAATCTAGACTTGATTTTTTTCTTTCATTTTTTTTTCCATCATTAATTTCGAGTTATTCCATTAAAATCCGATGATAAGTGAAGCTGCCCTTTGTCCTGAGCTGGGGCAAGTTGCTCAGAGCATTGAGCAGATCTGACCTGCGGGCCTTTCCTTCTGCCCTGGAGCAAATCTTGCCCACCAGGCCCATCAGAGCACTCCCTTTTGCTGCTTATGCCTTCCAGACTGTGGATTCACTGAACACAAAGTTTTCACAAACGTGGCTTCTAGAAGCACATGTCCTTGATCTCTTTTAGAAACAGTCCAAATTCTGGAATCATATGAGGAGGTCTGGCTATTCTAAGAATGATCTATCCACAGGAAAAACCAAACCTAGGGGTGCCCTGGGAACAGGGGATGTAAGAGCATAGAAGGTAGTGTTTGAGGGGCATAATAAAGCCACTTGTTCCCAAAGAGCTCCCCCTCTGGCTTTGCCCAAGTGCCTGATGTCACCTCATTCTTTTGGGTCATACTATTGCCATGGTTCTCAAAGTGTGGCCACCAGACTAGCAGCATCTGGGAACTTGTTAGAGATGCAAATTCTTGGGCCCCCACCCCAGACCTTCCGAATCAGAAACTCTGGGGTAGGATCCAACCAGATGTATATTCACAAGCCTTTCAAGTGTTTCTGATGCACTCCTGAGTTTGAGAACCACTGCTCTACTGAACTGCTGATTACTAATACTGAGCCATTATTAGCCAGTAACCCCAGTAAGATTAGATTTTCAATTTCTTCACAGAAAGTAAAGGAACTGAAACCAGGACAAGTTAGTTTTGATTAGGAGAATATGGAAAGTTCTAGACATTTAGGATACTGGGGAGGGGGAGTCTGCAGGGGGGGATTTCTTTCCCAGTCTATGCGCCACCTGCTTACTGATTGTTCCTGTTCCTAGTTTCACTGCAAAGCCAGGTCTCACTATGGGATACGATCACTCTCTTCAGTCTTCACCATGAAAGCTTAGCTGGGGGAACTCTCTTTTATATTTAATTCTGTTCCCATTGTAACTGATTTGTATTCTATTTATGAATGCTGCACACACTGATTTGGCTGCTTTCAACCCCAAGTGAGTACCACTTTGTAAACACTGGAATTTTAAAATATCTGATGCTTGGAACCTTTCTGGAATTTTCCGTGTTATATTTCTTCCATCTTCATCTCAAGTGGCTTTCAGATAAGCCCTACAAAGTTCTCAATATAAAAGAATTGATAACCCTAAACAGAAGACATGAAAGGAACATCTGGTCCAACGAAAACGTTGGGCAACATCTGAACTCTCGAGGTTCAAGCAGGGATTCTCTAGCATTTGAGGGGGTGGCCCTGCGTCAGCCTCCTTGCCCAGCTCCTCTGTCTCCGTCATTAATTGAACATCATGTTCTTGTGGTCAGTGATGTGAGGAAAGGCAACAGATGTCCCTGATTTCTAATAAGTGAAGCCATCTTCAAGACAATCCTAACAAACCTCTGTTTGTAGCGATTCTAGGGATATTCTGCCTTAGCCACCCAGCCCCAGATGGCTCGAAAGTGAGCAACATAGATAGAGCACCATGCGATCATATCAGCCCTGTAGATGGCTTGTTGGAGATTGGGAGAAGCCCCTAGATTAACCTCTTCTTCGTTCTGGTTTCTAGCCAACTGTGGACAGCTGGCAGGAGCCAAATGGGGCCTGAACTGCATTTCAGACTTGTTGCTGACAAACTGGCCGGCGGCCCTCCTCCCTCTCTCCCCAGATTTGCTGCAGAGGAACTTGCACAGTCTGCCTTCGCCGGGAGGAGCAAGGGGAGGAGGACCTGGCCTTTGCCTCCACCTTGCAGTGCAGGAGGAAGAGAGGGCAGCAGGCCTCCAGAGCCTGGCTCCTCCTGAGTGGCTGCATCCCTGGGGTCCTGGCCCCCTGAAGGAGGGAGGCAGGACAGAGAGCAGAAGGGTCCACATGGAAATGAGAAGAGGGTGACTGTGCCTCCTCTCAGCTCTCCTGTGGCCCCTGAATGCTCCAGTCACAGTTAGGGACGCCGAGGCCAGGGAAGGGAAGTGCCTGGCACAGATACACAATGAACAGCTCAGAGCAGCATCTTTGGGCCCCTGATTCTCCTTCAGATCCTGAACCCGGGTTTAATTTTCCTCAGTTTGCATTCAAGGGGTAGATTAGAGAAGATGATTTCAAAGCCAACAAGTTCTCACTGGCCCAGTTGACCTTAACAAAGCACATACGAAGAGGGGTGGGAGGGAAGGGCAGTGTCTGTGGGGGAGAACAGTGTGGGGAAGCTGGGAGGTTTGTAAGATCTGCGCCAGCCTGCCTGGGCTGGGATCATGGCTCCAAGTACGAGCTGTGTGACCTTGGGCAAGTTACTTAACCTCTCTGGGCCTCAGTTACCTCATCTGTACAATGGGGATACTTCATGGAGATTTGGGAACAAATGAATATGTGTAAGGGTTTGGCGTATTGCATGGCACAGAGTAAGTTCTTTGGAAATGTTTTTTAAGTCTGACAGCCCAGAATGGGGCCAGTGGCCAGTAGGGATTCACAAGGCACATTATTAATTCCCTTGCCTTAGCACTTTGTCTTAGAACTGGATTCATCATTTCAATTTTTCAAACCCATGTTCATTGGCAGGCAGGAGCTCTCCTAGCATGGCCCAGCTGGTCTGTCAGAGCCGTGGCCTAGGCTCTGTCCCACCAACCCTTCCCTCACTGGGGCAGAGTGAGGAGGGTGAAGACGGAAGCCAACCTTGACTCTAAGGAACTGGGGGAGATGGGAAGGGGGACCCGGGTGACGCAGGTTCCGGGCCCAGCAACAGCTGACCCTTGCCCTCTCATCTGCAGTGAATACAACCGTGTTCAATGCTTCAGCCCCGCTGGCACCGAACACCAACGCTTCTCTGGTAAGTCCTTGCCTCTTAGTCAGACATTCTAGTGTTTTTGTTTGTGGAGGGAGTGAGAAAAGAATTCAGAGACTGAGACCAACTTACGGCCACTGAGACTCACAGGGCAGCCCCAGCTGCACATCAGGGTCACCGGTAGAGCTTTCTAAACGCACACTCTTAGGTGTATACTGAAAACATCCCATCTGGAAGCATGCCTCATCTGTTAAATCCACGTGTATAAATACGATACACACACACACACACACACACACACACACACACACACACAAAGGGGAGGTAGAGGTGAGGAATAGTTTTGTGTAGGGCTGTGCAACCAAAGCTATGAACAGAGCTTCCTGTTCATCCTCCTACCTTCGTCCTTCCCTTTCTATCTGGGATTCCAAATTCCCACCCAGCAGGGCCACTCCCCAGCCCTGGAAGGTTTATCAGTCCTCCCCCACTCAAGGATCTGACGTGTCCTTGCACACCTTAGTCCCTGGGGCCCCCAGGTCTGGTCTGCCTTTCCTGATATTGATGACAGTGGCCTTCAGGAGCCAATGTCCCAGCTTAAGTGACTTAACAATGGGAAGTTCAAATCCAGGTGAAGAGTAGCACCTGGTAGGGGGAGATCTGTGGGTGTTTAGCATCCCTTAAGTTGCTTCTTAAGTTACCCCCACACAGGCAGTTGACTGCTCTGCCTACATATATCCCAGTTGGCAATTTAACTAAGATTTTTCAAATATCAGATTTTGGGGGAGAAAGAACTAAATCATTCCGTGCCTCTTTCAGAATTCCTATTATGTGCACGATGCTGTGTGCACTGAGGACTAAAAAGGCATCTGAGAAACCCACGTGGCCCCATCCTCACACTTGCCTTTCACATGCTCGTGGAGAGGAACTGCAAGGTCATGGGGCTGCACGGCAGAGCACACCATACATCAAACCTAGGCCAGATGTGTGCTTTTACCTTGGAGGCAGAAAAGAGGCAAGCCAGAGAGGCCAGGGAAAGCCTCACAGGAAAAGTGGAATGCCAGGAAAAAGTTGGTTCGGCAGAGAAAAGCACATTCCAGGCCCAGGGAACACAGCATAGACAGAGGGTAAACGAGGAAAAGCACGAAACCTGTGCAGAGGACAGAGGCGGACTAGGCCGGCTAAGACAGAATGAGGGTGGGGATTGGACAGGGAAATGACAAGAGACAAGCCAGGAAGGAGGCATGGGGCCAGACAGTGGGGACAGAAGAGGAATGCTGCCCTGCAGAGGGCACTTTAAATTGCTCTGGTGATTGAGGGGTGCAGCTGACCTGCAGAAGATGGGCCCCAGAATGCAAGACAGCTCTTTGCAGGCTACTTACACACCATGAAGAATGGTTTCTGACCTCCTGACTTCCTGTATCAGTTATCTATTGCTGCATAACAAACCACCCTCGGCCAGGCAAGGTGGCTCATTCCTGTAATCCTAGCACTCTGGGAGGCTGAGGCAGGAGGATTGCTTGAGCCCAGGAGTTTGAGGTTGCCGTGAGCTAGGCTGATGCCACGGCACTCTAGCCAGGGACAAAAGAGCAAGACTTTGTCTCAAAATATATATATATATATATTTTTTTTTTTTTATTTTTTTTTAAAAAAGAAAACAAACCACCCTCAAATGTAGTGGATTAAGGCAGCAGCAATTACAATTATAACCCCTAATTCTGTGGGTTGCTGGCTGTTCTGCTGGTCTCACCTGGACTCAGTTCCGTGTCTGTATTCCACTGGCGGGTCTGCTGGGGGCTGGGATGGCCCAGCCTGCCTTTTCCCATGGTTTTTCCCATCCTGAGCTTTTTCACAGCAGAGTGGTGTCAGGTTTCCAAGAGGACAGGTGCAGAAGCTGCAAGGCCTCTTGAGGCCGAGCCCCCAGAACCTGCTCAATGTCATTTATTCCCCTCCCTGTTGGTCTAAGCAGACGAAGAGCCAGCCCAGATTCAAGAGATGGAAAAGCAGACTTCACCTTTGAAGGGAGGACTGTCAGTTTCACCTCGTAAGGGAGCATGGACACAGGGAGGCATGATTCACTGGGGACCATTATTGTAACAAACGACCACACTTCTCTCAATCTGAACATTCATTAGAGCTAGTTGCAAGCATCTCATTGTATAGCTGTTCCTAAGCATTTGCACGTTAATTTTTTATATATATCAAATTTTATTATAAATTACTCTCCTTTTCTTCCTCCTTTCATTAGTCTTAGGAATATATATGTATGTGTATATATATACATATATATAATTTCTATATAAAATTTCACTGTTGTGCATGCCCTGCACTTTAGGCATCTGGGACACCAAGGGGGAAAGTGACTGAAGTGACCCAAGAGGGAACTGACAAGGGTGTGAGCCACAGTATGTGGAAGGGTGTGACAGAGGGGAGGGAAGGGAGAGAATAAATGTGAGACACTGCAGGAAGGAGGCACCAACAGGACCCGTGGTTGACTGACAGGAGCCAGGCCTGCCGAAAGGGCATCCCCCCTCACGTGTCCTCCCTGCTGGCAAACAATGCATCCTAGAACACAAGGAAGAAACACGTGTCAGCTGCTAATCTTCCAGGGAACTGCCAGCTTGTCATTCCTTGACCCAGCCTGTCCTTAGGAACATCACTTTGTTGCTGAGGGCACCACTGTGGACAGGAGGGCTGTAGCCCCTCGGAGGGCAGCAGGGAGTGTGGGCTACCTGGGGACTGCAAGGGGAAGGACGCAGCTGACCCACCAGGAAGGCCCTGACTCTTTCTCTCCTGTGCTTGGTCTCCAAGTACAACCCCCTTAACCTCACAGCGCTGGACTGGTCCCTGCTGAGCAAGAAGGAGTGTCTGAGCTACGGCGGGCGCCTGCTCGGGAATTCCTGCCAGTTCATCCCAGACCTGGCGCTCATGTCCTTCATCCTTTTCTTCGGGACATACTCCATGACCCTGACCCTGAAGAAGTTCAAATTCAGCCGCTATTTTCCTACCAAGGTAAGCTCACCCTGCAGTTGGGAGGGGACCTACCGTCAGGCTACTGTTGAGGAAGGCCCTGCCAAGCCTCCCGGAGTGGGTTCGGGTCCACAGACAGCATGGACTCCACGTGGGCACTGGCCACTGGGGTTTTTCAAGTTAAGTCAGAGAGAACTGGGTTCCCTTGTTGGCCAGACCCCGTGACAGCACTTGGTATTGTCAGGATTTTTTCTTTAGCGTTTCTGTATAGTAGGATCTCATTGTATTTTTTAAAATTTTCATTTCCCTGATGACCAATGAAGTTGAAAACCTTATTATGTGTTTATTGGCCATATAGCCATTTAACTTTCTTCTTGAAATTGTCTGTTGAAATCTCTTGTATATTTTCTGTTGAGTTGTTTGTCTTTCTGGTTTGTAAGAGTTCTTTATATATTCTGGATAGAAATCCTTTTGTGATCATACATTAAAAATACCTTCTCCCACTCTGTGGCTTTTTTACATACTTCATGGTATCTTTTGATTAACAGAAATTCTTAGTTTTGTTGTAATCAAATATATCGAAATTTGATTTTTGAATTTGAATTTGAACAGAAGATATTCTCCTATGTTATCTTCTAAAAGCTTCATTGTTTTTCATGTTATATCTATAATCCATCAGAATTGATTTTGATATATAATGTGAGATAGTGTTTCATTGTGTTTTTATATAAATAACCAATTGCTCCAGTACCTTTTTCAAAAAAACATTCTTTCTCCACTGCTTTGCAATACTTCCTTTACCATGTATCAAATGCTCTTCTATGACAGGGCCTGTTTCTGGGTTCTTTTTTCTGTTTCACTGATTTATTTGTACATCAGTATCATAGTCTTTGTTTCATAGCTTATAATAAGTCTTTATATCTTTTAGACTAAACTCCCCTTCTTCGTTCTTTTTTAATATTAAGTTGGCCCTTTATATTTCTACATTCGTTTTAGAATCACTTTAAATTTCACCAAAATAAAAACAGGATTATTGTGATTCTGTGTGTCAATTTGGGAAGAATTGATATCTTTCAAATTTTAAGTCTTCTGATTCATGAACATGGTATACTTCATTTATTTTGATCTTCTTTATCTCCATAATGTTTTGTAGGTTTTGGCCTTGAGGTTTTGAGCAATTTTTGTTAGATTTATTCCTAGGAACTTGATTTTTTTATACTATTATAAATGCTGACTGGTATTTTTATTTTCTACCTGTTCATGGCTGGAATAAAACATTTATCAATCAAAACAGCACTTGTGGCAGGAGTGGTGGCTCACGCCTGTAATCCCAACACTTTGGGAAGACGAGGCAGGAGGATCCCTTGAGGCCAGGAGTTCAAGACCAGCCTGGGAAACATAACAAGACCCCCAACTCTACAAAAAATTAAAAAATTAACCAGATGTAGTGGCACGTGCCTGTAGTCCTGGCTACTCAGGAGGCTGAGGCAGGAGGATCACTTGAGCTCAAGAGTATAGGCTGCAGTGAGCTATGATGATGCCACTGCACTCCAGCCTGAGCGACAGAGCAAGACTCTTTCTAAAAAGAAAAAAAATTGCCTCTCTGAAAAGATCTAAAAAAGGTTGCAGGGTAGATATGGGGGGACCCTCCGCCCTGAGACTTCTGGATGCTGAGTTGCTGTGGAGGGGCAGTCAGAGGGCACTGATTCAGAAAGGGCAGGGAGGTCAAGTTCAGTACCTGGCCTAGGAAGGGCCTCCTGAAAACAGAGGAGAAAGAGGCTGGGGACTCTTGGTCAACAGAAGGTCTAAGAGTAGTCAGGGGTCCCCAGTAGAATTGAGGGGCCTTCCCAAGCCTGGGTGCGGTGCAACAACCTGTCACAGATTTTTAGGAGCTAGAGTTTCCTTCAGAGCTCAGCCCTTGTCCTCCCTGTACCTTCTGGTGACACAGTTCAGACCTTCACACCTTCATATCTTCAGCACTAGCTGCCGTGGCCACGTGGATCATAACAACTCCCACTTTGACTACCAAATAGTCACTGACGCCTTTGAGAGAGGTACTATCATCATCTCCATCTTACGAAGGAGGAAACTGAGGCTCAGAGAGATGACCTGCTTCCCCAAGGTCACACAGCTAGCAAGGGGCTGAGCCAGGCCTTGAGCCTGGTTCTGCTGACTTCAGAGCCCACACTTCAACCATTCTCCTCTTCGCTGCCTGCGACTGGGTCTGCCTGGAGCTGGGCGGGCGCATTGCTCACTTGCTCGTCTCCCATCTGCAGGTCCGGGCCCTGGTGGCTGACTTTTCCATTGTTTTCTCCATCCTGCTGTTCTGTGGGATCGATGCCTGTTTCGGCCTGGAAACCCCCAAGCTGCACGTTCCCAATGTCATCAAGGTTTGTCCCTCGCCCCTGCTCCGGGCACCCACTCTGCCTGCCCACCAGCTGCATCCTCTCCCCTCTGCATTCATCACAGTTTCTTCTCCTCTCAGCCACGAGACCATGTGTGCGTGTCCACCCCTCCCTGCACACAGCCTCCTAGGTGCTAGTCATTTGAGGTGTTGGGCGGGGACATATTCACAGTGAAATCCTGCTCTGTAGCCACAGGGTGGGGCAGGTGCTGGGATCCACCCTCCAGCCCAGCTGAAGCCTCTTGAGGGTCTCCAATTCCCTGGCAGTCTACAAGCAGGGCGAACAGGGATATGCTGAAAATGATCCCTTAGAACAGTGATTCTCAGCTGGGCGCGGTGGCTCACGCCTGTAATCCTAGCACTCTGGGAGGCCGAGGCGGGAGGATCGCTCAAGGTCAGGAGTTCAAGACCAGCCTGAACAAGAGCAAGACCCTGTCTCTACTAAAAATAGAAAGACATTATCTGGACAACTAGAACAGTGATTCTCAAAGTGTGGTCCTGGCCCAGTATCACATCCTCACCCTGGAACTGATTAGAAATGCAAATTCTCAGCCCACCTCAGACCTATGGAATCAGAAAGGCTGAGGCCAGGCCCACCAATCTACATTTTACCAACCCCTCAGGTGATCCGGGGTCAGGCTCAAGTTTGGGAACCAGGGCTTCAGAAACCACCCACTAGTGCAGAGTCAGTGCCCTTGGCTTGTGGCTAAGCTGGAGCCCTGCTCCCTCACAAGAGCACCAACCGTCCCACCAGGGCAGGGAGTCCGGATTCTAGAATTTACCCTCCCTGTCTCTGAGGTCTTGACCTTTGAGATATTATTTCAGGGTTCTCCTGAGTAGCTTGAACACATCCCATACAACTCATATTGGCCTTGAAATTAAAGTACCTCTTTCTCTTAAATAAAACAAAAAATAAACTTCAGTCTGGCTTCTGCACAGATAATCCCTTATTTTCAACGTGCAGGTCTGAACTGATGGTCAGTGTTTTACAATCTATCACGCACCCCGGACAGGTGACTTGGAAGAGGCAGAAGCGGCTGGCACTGGGCCCATCAAATTCTTTATTCTTGCCTGTTGGGCCTCATTTCTGCTTTTAGTACCTTGCAGTTAGCGACTGCACACTCTCTCCCGGCCGCGCCTCCCTGTTTCCCCACCAATCCCAGGGCTGTTGCCGCAAATTTTGCCTTTAGTTCCTCAGTGGCAGTCACTGGCTGTGTTCACGCTCCTTCCCACATCTGTCTGCTTCCGCAGTCTCCTTATTCTAAAGTTGCAGGTGCCTCATGTGTTTAAGGGAAAAGATTTTACTTGACAAGCATTCCCGGTTGGAGGCGGGGGGGAAGGAGAGTGGCCGAGCAGCAGGTGCCCTGGGACAAGAAAGAGAGGACAGGGCCTCTCCCTTTGCTCCTGCTCAGCCCACGAGGCCTGACCGAGGCTGGTTCGTGGCCCCCTTTGGGAAGAACCCGTGGTGGGTGTACCCTGCGAGCATCCTGCCCGCCCTGCTGGTGACCATCCTGATCTTCATGGACCAGCAGATCACAGCTGTCATTGTCAACCGGAAGGAGAACAAGCTGAAGGTAAGGCTAGTGCTGGGAGCAGGGACACAGCTCTGTTTTCCCACAAAGTTGGAAGGAACGAAGGAGGGAGATGATGCTTCTTTCAATACTTTGGGCCAGGAAAATATGAGAGCAGAAGACTGGAGTTCCCACTTGGTGTGCTGGGCAGGGGGACAATGTGACCTCCAGATGTGGGCAAGGCCAACAGGGCTGGGTGACTTAGTCTGAGGACCAGGACCAAGCCAGGCTGGGCCACTGGCCACAGGCCCCTGCGCCTCCCAAAGTGACCCTCCAGCTCTGCACCTCCGGAAATGAACTTTAGAATCTGAGTAGCTGGTAAAATTCCTTAGCCTTTCTGGTCCCTGCAACTCCCCGCCTGCCTCTGGGTCTGAGGAAACTCAGGCCGCCCTGTCTCCCATCCCAGTCAGGCCTACCCCAGCTGGGCCTCATTCAGGAACCGAAGAGATATTGTGGCCACTAGGTGGGAGCTCTCCTCCCCAGGGACCCAAACCCAGGGCCCTCCCAGCCTGAACGTCCCTCCCCTTCATTACCTGTGTCCCCACCTTGCTCACCTCCCCCCCAGATACAGTAGTGGCCCCCTCAGAGTTCCCTCTGGAAGGCCAGGGGAGCCCTGGCACCACTCTCCACTGAATGGCTGCTTCAAGGAGGAACAAGCTCCCCAGAAGCATCCCCCTTCCCGCCACCCCTACAGAAGGCTGCTGGCTACCACCTGGACCTGTTCTGGGTGGGCATCCTCATGGCCCTGTGCTCCTTCATGGGGCTCCCCTGGTACGTGGCCGCCACGGTCATCTCCATCGCCCACATCGACAGTCTCAAGATGGAGACAGAGACCAGCGCCCCGGGAGAGCAGCCCCAGTTCCTGGGGGTCAGGTAGGAGGCGTCAGGGCCTGGGGGTCCCGGAGGGGGAATGGCCAGGTGGGGAGGGGAAGCACCTTTTCTGACCATCAAAGTGTTTGGGTGACAAGGGCCCAGCTCTGACAGCCCAGGAACCACCAGGCTGGGAGTGAGATCCCTGAAGGGAAGGAAGGAGAGGGATGAAACCTCGGGTTAAATGGTCCTTTTTCTCAGTAGACTCCCAGAAGTACACCCCCCCCCAATCCATACAGATGCGCACACATTAGCACCAGATTCTCACCTGTATAGACCACTCGAGGTCCCTGCAGGGCCTCTTGCTGTCCTGCCTTGATCTCTTCCCAGGACCCTCCAGGCCCCTGCCCCTGGCACCCCAAGGCCCTCCTGCAGGTTCAGAGCCTGTTCAATCTCCAGTCCTCCAGAAAGCCTCCCGGAGACCACCCTCACTCCTCTCGTGCTCCATGGCAGGCAGAGAAGCGCACCTTCCACCCCTTAGGGCCTTGAGGGCTAGACCACACCAGACCCTGGTATTCTCCTAACTGTTATCCTAAGAGTTTCTCCCCACTGCCTTGGAATATCTGGGCTGCTCAACCTGCCCAAGTGAGGCTTCTCTGCCCGACCGAAAGGCTCAGGGCTGGTCAGGGCATGGTCCCCTCCCAGACCCCTGAGCCCCGGTGGCTGGGCCTGAGCAATCTGCCCCCGAGCTCGGAGCTCCAGCCTGGGTTGTGACTGGACCTGGGCACAAACCCACCTGCCCTCCAGGCCCTGATCCCTGCTCTGCTAGCAGCCAGCCCCTCCCCCCATTAGCTATGCCCCATGAAAGTGAGATCCTACAATCAAATGTCAGGGTAATGGCACTTTATGTCACATTTATCCTCACAACAACCTCCTGAGGCAGGCGCCATTATTGTCTCCGTCCACTGAGGCTTAAAACCATCAGAGCCTTGCCTGATGCCACACAACCAGCAAGTGGCAGAGCCAGGGCTCAACCCAAGTCAGCCTGGCTCAAGCGCCCAGACGGAACAGCGACTACACTGAACAGCCTCCCCAGTGCCCTGCACCACGCCCTTGCCTCCGACAGGGGCTCCTGTCTTCTACGGGTGGGTCAGCTGGGCCTCAGGCAACAGGCAGAGGTCCATGCAGAAACCCCTTAAGGCCACGGCCTCGGACACAGCTTCAGGTGCCCACAGAAGGGCAGGACGCTGGGAATGGCCACCGAACATCTCCCGGGACACCCTGACGTGTGCTCTTTTCTGCCAGGGAACAGAGAGTGACAGGCATCGTCGTCTTCATCCTGACAGGAATCTCCGTCTTCCTGGCTCCCATCCTGAAGGTGAGGCTCTGCACCCTCGCCCTGTGGCCTGGGACAGTGCAGAGCTAGGCCTCGGAGGCGGGCAGGGGACCCCACATGGCCTAGGGATCAGAGGTCTATGGGCCCCTAAAAAAAGGAAGGGTCTTGGGCCGAAGTAATGTTTCGACATCGTCATCATCATTTTCCATGATATTGTGTCACTTGTCATCATCACCAATCCTCACTGCTCTCTCCCAGCCTCCCAGGGTCCACTCTCACCTTTCTGGAGGGTGCTCTTCCCTCAGAAAGCTCTGCCACGTTCGATTCCTGCTTGGATAAGGAACTTCCAGAACTGGGTGTGTGTCCACACACACTGGGTGTTGTTGTGGTTTGGGGCTCGTGAAAGGCTTCCTGCCCCCTCCTTTTCTGAAGTTTAAAACTTGCAGAGGTGGGAGGGGCTTCTCCAGCTGCTCTCCAGGCCTGTTCTCTGCCCGTGCCTGAGGCACATGAGTGACTTTTTCCACACAGTCTGAAGCTCCTCTTGCTCATGTCCCACCAGACCAGCCGGAAGAGACTAAGTCAAATGGGGGTACATTCGAGGCAGGTGTCTCCCACAATAGTCTCTTTCTGGTCAGAAACGGGTGTTCCCACCAGGTTTCTCTGCTCTCCGCTCTAGCGGTGGCCCCTCGATCACCCTTTCCCGCGATCAGTGCCCACATGAGACTTCCCCTTCCTGATTAAGCTGACCTGTAACTGCCCCAGTCTTTTGCAGATATTATCTTCCCCCACTGAGTATCTCAAAGCAGCTCATTCATGGGCAACCTTGTAAGAAACAAAGACTAAAGAACCAAAATGCTGGTTTACTTATTCACAGTGGGAAATAGTTCTGGCTTGAGAATCAGTGCTGGGCGTACCTGAGCAGTAGGTCTGAGGTTGGTATTCTTTAAGGGATGTTTCTGGCAGACATTTTGTTTATTTAAAAATGTATTTTAAATGTCCAGGGACTATTTACTATTGTGGAGAGGGTTCCAAAGAGCCATTGTGTATGTCAATCCTGATACTGTTTAGCAGACAAGTATTTGCATTAAAAAAATTGTACCTAAGAACAGTGTTTTTTAGGGGCCCAAAATTCCATAAACGCCTGTTAGTGTTGGCACAGCACCTTGTGCTACTGGAAGTGTTCTAGCGTGACCCCCCTGAGGACAAGGTGGAGCAGCCTTTGTTCACAGTGGGCAGCCACAGCTGCAGGGGAGGGAGAGGACACAGGAGCAGAAACGCAGCTTAGACGGACAGTAGAGACATGCCTCGAAAGGGTGTTAAAGGTTGGACCGAGGCTTACAGAATGGTATGAATTATGTGATCCATTCCTGAAAAAACAAACAAACCACCTGTGTGCGTGTCTGGGAGGAAGGGTTCCCACCAAACTAGTGGTGGTTAGTTGATGACGAGTGGTGGTTAGTTTAGACACTTTTGTTTTGCTTCTTTTTTATCTGATTGTCTATGATGTGTGATTTTGGTTAAGTGTCCTTGGCGCTGCCCGCTGATGTAGGTCAGCTCCCTAAAGTCCCAAACCCCTGCAGGCGGAGCAGCTTTGGAGGCCCCGATCTGAGGCTGGAGGTGGGAAGGAGGTGGCAGGAGTGAGGAGGGGACAATCTGTGGAGCTTTCCCACTTTCCAGAAGGGGTGTCATCAGCCAGACCACATGGCCGGGGGGCCGGGCCAGGAGAGCAGTGGCTCGGTGGGCGAGCTACCCCAGGCGGGGCAGGGAGCAGTAGCTCCCCAGGGACCCTGCTCACCCACCCCCACCCCCACTCTGGCTCCAGATATGATCTCGGACCCTCAGTGCCTCCACACACCCGCTCCCCAGCTACCTCTGTGGTTGGCAGAGGCTGTCACCCAGCAAGGGCGGCCCAGAGCTCACCCAATCCGAAGCTCTGCTCTCATTGTAGTACATTCCCATGCCGGTGCTGTACGGAGTCTTCCTCTACATGGGCGTGGCCTCCCTCAACGGCATCCAGGTAAGGCCGATACGACCCAAAGTCAGCACTCTGTGTCTGGTTCCCTGTCACCAAGACCCCAAATGCTTGCTTTCCCAATTCAATGAAGGAATAACAGTAACAATGATACTACCATTCCCTATGTGCCACACAAAATAACTATACAGGCACTTTATAGGTGTCATATAATTTAATCTATATAATTAGTTCCTCTGATCCCCATTTTACAGATGGGGAAACTGAGGCTCAGAATTCAAAACCCAGATCAAGTCGACTCCAATGAGCATTTCACTACACCTCTTCTCTCTTCCTTAAGGCAACTCCATAGAAGAAAATATTTTTGTTTTGTTTTGTTCTATATTTACCATGAAATCCCAGGATGTCTGGGATAGTTTGTCTTGCAATTAAGCTGCATCTCCTGGAATGTGGACAATGTTCATTTTGTGGCCAGCTCCGGGCTATTCTTCTCTCCCAGGACTCAGGACCCTCCCCAGGACCCCATTATATGCCCAGACACCTCCAGCCCCCTCCTGTACGTCCTTAAGGCCTGAGTGGGGTCTCCTCTCAGCAACCCCACCAAGGAACCTCCTGCCCCAGTCTCAGGCCCCCAGGGCCCAGCTGCCTGGCTGAGCCCCTTGCTGTCCCCCCAGTTCTGGGAACGCTGCAAGCTCTTCCTGATGCCCGCCAAGCACCAGCCAGACCATGCCTTCCTGCGGCACGTGCCCCTGCGCCGGATCCACCTCTTCACCCTGGTGCAGATCCTCTGCCTGGCGGTGCTCTGGATCCTCAAGTCCACCGTGGCTGCCATCATCTTCCCAGTCATGGTAAGGCGGGCGCGGGCTTCGCCCTCCCGCTCGCCAGGTCGGGTGAGGCAGGTGACCCCTGGGCGGTCCAGTGGCAGGTCCCCTGGTGAGCACCTCAACTCCCATTCGTCCTCCACGTTAGGCTCTCCCATGGCCTGGCTCCCTTGGTTGCAGAGGCAGGCACAGAATAATCTGGTCTATATTGTGAGTCTGGGCCAGATGGTGTGGGGTGGGGGTGGCAAGGAGGCACAGGAAAGAATGTCAGTGTGGTGGGTGGACTCTGCAGCAATAACCCCCATGTGAGGTCAGGGCCACTCAGTGGGAACGCAGAAGCCACCCGACCTCCCGGCTCTGGGGAGGGACAGGGAAACAGACAAATTCAAGGGGAGAACAAGTTCACCATTGCAAAAATGCAAACTGATCTCAGAAGTCCATCTGTGCTAAATACGAATCTTTTCACCATTCAAAATAACTGAACTTGAAAATATAAATAGTGAGGAGAAAAAAAGAACTAGAATCAGAGATCAAGAACTTCAAAACCCAATGACAATGTAAAGTTTGAGCTGGAAAAATATATGCAGGAGACCTTTGACTATTTTTGCAAGTTTTATGTAAGTTTGTAATTATTCCAAAATAAAAAGTGAAAAGGAAAAAAACCCATAGCATGTTGCATCTGGCCCCCTAGTTAGCCCCACAGGAGGGCAGCAGCCCTGGCCCTGCTGGGGTCCTGGGCAGGGGAACTAAAGTCTGAGGAAAGCCTGGGGGCTCCTGGGAGGGCTCTAGTGGCTCTTGTCCCTAGCAGCCCATTAAAACCAATCCAGGTCAATTAAATCAGAATCTCTTGGGGAAACCCAGGCTGGGTGTTTTCAGTAGGTCCGCAGGTGAGCTGTAAGCGTGCAGCCAGGGCTGAATCTGCACTGCGAGGAAAGGGAAACGGGCCTCCCCAGCAGCACCCTCGTGCGCTGCAGAGACGACGAAGGGAAAGGGTACAGTGATGGTGGTGACTGGCATTCACCGAGTGCTGTTCCATTAGCCCACGCCAGCCCCTGGGGTACTGCTAGTAGCCCCACTTCACAGATGACAAAACAGGGGCTCAGAGAGCACGAGTGAGTGACACAAGTCACACGAGCAGGACTGGGCAGAGCAAGATCTGCACCCCTCATCTATTGGATTTTTTTTCCACTTTATTTACATACAGAAAAAATCACTCTGGTTCTGTGAGTTTTGGCAAATATACAGAATGGTGATTCCACCACCACAACCGTGATACAAAACAGCCCCCTCACCTCCAAAGCTCCCTCCTGCTGCCCCTCTGCAGACAGCCTCTCTCCCCTTCCCAGCCCTGGCAACCACGGACCTGTGCTCAGAGCCAGGGTCTTTAAAACCCAGGTCTGTCCCACTCCCAAGCTCTACTTGCTCCCAAGAAGCAGCGTCAGCGAAGAACCAGTGTCAAATTCAGCTGAGTGATTTTCTCCCTGACCTCATTTAATGGCCAGTTCTTGGTGGTGAGAGGATAGTATAAATATCTAGCCATCCTGGGCCCACTGAGCTTATTGAAAGGTCAGCTTCTAATCGTCCCCAAAGAGCACTTATTTCTGCCTTTAATTCATTCATCCTGAACAGAACCAAACTTTCTAAACTTTCCTTTAAAAATCCCAGGTATCCCACTATATTCTATTCAGCTTCTGTTAACAGAGAGATCGGCAACTCTGAGAAATGGAGACAGAGCGACAGTGGGACTCAAAGTGTGGTCCTCAGACTGGCAGCGTCAGCATCATCTGAGGACCTGTCAGATGACTGTGCCTTGCCCGGCTGCTGAGGCGGACACTCTGGGGGTGGAACCAGCATTCTGTGTATTAACAAGCCCTCCAGGTGGTCCTGAGGCACGCTGGAGTTTGAGAAGCACTGATTTAAAGAATTACAGTAGTTCTCCAGCATGTCCAGGCCCCCTGCTTCAGTGTCACAGGCTCTGTCCCTCTGTCACTGGTCGGGATGGTCACTCACCTGAGAGGCCAGACGAGAGGCACCACGGTGGAGGGAAGGTGAATAACGGTTTGTGGGAGCTTTGAGATGACTCCAAAGACACAGACCACAAAAAAATCCCTAAATTCAGCCAACTGAGGGTGAAAAAACTGTGCCTGAGTTTGGGCATTGAGACCATGGTTTTCTCTGAACTCTCACAAAACTTCAGCCTGTCTGTCTGTCACCATAGATCCTGGGCCTCATCATTGTCCGAAGGCTTCTGGACCTCATCTTCTCCCAGCACGATCTGGCCTGGATTGACAACATCCTCCCGGAGAAGGACAAAAAGGAGACAGACAAGAAGAAGAAGAGGAAAAAAGGGGCCCATGAGGACTGTGATGAGGAGGTGGGGAAGATAGGAGGCCTAGGCAGAGGGGAGAGGTCAAGAGACCTTCCCTCCACATAGCCAGGGCCAGGGAGGGGGTGGCTTCACAGGTGGCCTGCAGCAGTGCCTGGGTCCAGGCGGCATGAGCTGGGCTTCTGCTTGTCTCGGTCTGGGGTGCTGGGAGCTCCTCTGTTCAGGTGAGTATCCTCAGGGTGGGCCGGAATGAATGAGCCTCCCTGCTCGGGGAAACGCTGACTGGCCATGCCCACTCTTTCCCATTACTGTGGGCTTCCAGGGCCATTATCCACAGCCGTCAGGTTCCTAGGGAATGGGATGGAAGACGGCTCCAGCATGGAAGGAGGTTATGAGGACTGACCTCCAGAGAACGGAGCAGGCCTGTGGCGAGGGGTCTGTTGGGCACTCATAAGTAGACTGGACTCCTGGACAGGCAGGAGGACCTGGGGACAAGTTTTGCTTGGGCCTGCCCCTAGGGTGTTGAGGCTGAAGGTGGGGGAAGAGGCAGGTGTCCTCGCTGAAAGGAGAATAACTACATTTCCTAGGTCCTGGGACTACCTTGTTGCCCTGTCTCCTCCTCTCATCTCTCCTGCTTCTTCCCATCCCATCCTCAAAACATGCCGCTTGGTGGTGATTAGACAATATTCCGATATAGTGATCAGCCAAAATTCCCCTGGTCCTTAATTACTGTCCTTTTCCAGGAAGGAAAGAGTCCCACAATTCATATTTTTTTGTAAAGGTAGGTTCTGAAAACAAACAGAAACTAAGTGCCTTTGGACAAGGTAGCTCACGCCTGTAATCCTAGCACTCTGGGAGGCCGAGGCAGGAGGATCATTTGAGGTCAGGAGTTCGAGACCAGCCTGAGCAAGAGCGAGACCCCCATCTATACTAAAAATAGAAAAAATTAGCCGGGCATGGTGGTGTGTACCTGTGGTCCCAGCTACCTGGGAGGCTGAGGCAGGAGGATCGCTTGAGCCCAGGAGTTTGAGGTTGCTATGAGCTAGGCTGACGCCACGGCCCTCTAGCTCAGGCGACAGAGCAAGACTCTCCAAAAGAAAAAGAAAAGAAACTAAGTGCCTTTTAATGACAAATACTACTTCTTTCACTGATTCATTCGGTAAATATTTGAGTGGCTTCCACATGCCAGGAACTATTAATCTCTGGGTTATATGATATATTCAGTGGAAGAACAGGATTCCATTTACGCAAATTCATTTTACATGTCTTTACAGCAACACAGCTGTAGTATGAAGCTCATTCCCAGGTGACTGGTTGCTGTGACAGATAAAACTGTTTTGATGAGTAACTTTCCTGGAAGAATCCCGTCCTGCCCCATGGCATGTGCAGGACACCGGGCTAACTGTGCCCATTTCCCCTCGGTGGGCCCCACAGTGTGTGCAGCAGCCCATTTAGTCTGGAGGTGAAGAGGATGGTGGTTTGCACTGTGGATGGGTGCGTTTTCCGTCTCGGCGAGAAGGCCGAAGCCGCTGTACTGGTGGTGTTTACCAGCTTTTCCCACTGTTTTTCTCCAGCCCCAGTTCCCTCCTCCCTCAGTTATAAAGATTCCCATGGAAAGTGTCCAATCAGATCCCCAAAACGGTATCCACTGCATTGCCAGTAAGTAAAACACATGACATCTGTGCCTTCCTACTTGCTACTAATCCTCCATCTTTTCTCTCAAGGGACTTCCATCTGTCACTCAAGGGCATCTAATTGTTTGGGATGTTAGAAGACTCCAGTGCTAGGCAGAGATCAGAGAATTGGCCCACGAGGACAGGGACTCCAACCAGATGGCCACTCCAGAGCAAATCCTGCAGACTCATTTTAGTTGAGGCAAAATCCCTCATTCCTTCCTTTTCTTAGGTGCCCTCAGATGCCCGTGGCACCGCCTGGCCCTCTTCTGTGTAGTTTCAGGTCACCTCAGTCCAAACGTGGCCTACTGAGCCTCCCACACCTTCCAGTGTTGTTAAAGTGATTGAGAGCTCAAACCAGCGCTGAGCCTGCCCTTTAGGGACAGGTAGCACAGCGTCTGGATCATAAGTCAGGCAGAACCGTAGGTCCCAGTGGTTGGGCTGTGATTCTGTGTGAATCACAAGCATCTTCCTTTCGCTGAAAGGGAGGCTCCTGGGAGGGCTCAGGCATTGCTTATGAAGATCCCAGGAGATTCTACGGCTGCCTCCCAGCCTCAGCTCCCTATCGGAGGACATTCCTGTCATCAAAACAGCACAGCTGGCCGGGCGCGGTGGCTCACGCCTATAATCCTAGCACTCTGGGAGGCCGAGGCGGGAGGATTGTTTGAGCTCAGGAGTTTGAAACCAGCCTGAGCAAGAGCAAGACCCAGTCTCTACTAAAATTAGAAAGAAATTAATCGGACAACTAAAAACACATAGAAAAAATTAGCTGGGCATGGTGGCACATGCCTGTAGTCCCAGCTACTCGGGAGGCTGAGGCAGGAGGATCGCTTGAGCCCAGGAGTTTGAGGTTGCTGTGAGCTAGGATGACGCCACGGCACTCTAGCCTGGGCAAAAAGAGTGAGACTCTGTCTCAAAAAAAAAAAAAAAAAAAAACAGCATAGTCTTCCGAAAGATCCTTACCGGGTCTGGACCCTGGTACTTCTAATATGGGGCTTGCCACTTTCCCCAAAGGCAGAGATTAGGGTGGGTAGCCAGGGATCCTTCCTATCACCACTCTCCGTCATCGGTACCTCACTCCCCCCTACATTTATAGACATCCTTCATCCTTTCTCTCTCTTCCCTGGCCCTCCTGCGCCTCCTACCCTCCTAACCCAGCTAAGAGCCCTCTAAGTGAAGGAATAACTGAGCCAGAAGCCACCGTCTCTGAGGCCCTAGCATTCCTTCCTCTTGTGCAGTGTTGGCCACAGGGTTAGAAAACACGAAAGAGAGGAGACGGTGGGGGAAGCACTGGAGAAATAAGACGTTCTCCAGTGTCGTGCTCAAACCTGCCCCATGTCTCACATTTTAATTTTCCTGCCAGGAAAAAGATCTTCCAGTTGGAGTTACTCATTCTGATTCTTCCTTCAGTGACTCAGAACTCGATCGCAGGTAAACACCGCTAGGCAGACCCCTTGGGTGTTAGATAAGAGTCTAAGTGATGGCCTTTGCTGGCCCCCCACTGGGAGACAAAGGCAGACAGACCTGAGTGTTTGGGGTCAGGTAACAAATGTGTCTTTTTACTGACAACAATGTGGTTACAACACGCAAAGGTAGTCAACTTTAGAAAAGGAAATTACTACAAGATTAGGTAGGACAAAAGCTGAAAGTAAATATTTTAAACAAGAAAACACAGAGGAGTATATAGCAGTGAAAGTCAGGATGAATGAGAGCTAAGGCTCAAAACACCAGGTACGCTAAATACTCTGCAGAATGAAACAACAGCAGGGTCAGTTAGCAACGGTCAGAAAGGCTTTCAAGGAAAGCTAATTCAGTATCAAGATTAAGTGGGGGCCCAGTTGCCAGGAGCCCCCATGCCAACAATGTGATCTTCTGATATTCTTCCTGAGAAGAGGCCCAGGCAAAGACTGTGCTGCCCGATGACTACACACAAGCAGGGCTCAAAAGGGAAAAGAGGAATTCAGCGGCAAGAAAGTCTTTGCCTGGGCTGTTACTAGGGAAGGTGGGAGAGGCAGTCCCACTCCTACCGTGTGCGCTAGAATGGACCGGAATCATTCCGTACTAGATCAAACAGTAAGAGTACGGGCTACCCCCAGTCTAGAGGCAGATCAGTCTCCAGACCAGACGGCACTCACCCAAGAGGTTTTTGGGAAACAGATCTTCTGCATTATGAGGCAAAGCTGTTAGCACAATGCCAAGGTAAGGACACAGACTCCTCAGCAGTTCCACCTTCCCTAAGCAGCAGGCCCAGGCATGCTCCAGCCCAGACATGGGCTAGAGACATGTCCCAATTGCATCTCTGCCTGTCTTCTCGTCTCACCTCCCCAGTCAGGGCTCCTGTACCCATGCCTCTGATCTTTATACAGTATACATGTATTAGGAGAAAAACAGCCTGTCTATTCTGATTTATTTTCATTTAAAAAATAGCCTAAATCAAGACTCTAATTGTCCCATTTTCAGTCAGTATAGAGAATCTGGACCAGGATAGAGGTTTCCAAAAACCAGTTATATTACACGAAGTCGTGAGACAAAGTCAGAAGCGCAGAAAATTTGGTAACTGAAGATGATACCTCCCAATACACTGGTGTTTTACTGAATTTATGAAAATGGATGGAGGCAGACCTCTAAATAGTGGGATTCCATTTCAGTGAAGAAAAGGCTCAGCAGCATGATCTAGTGTAACAAAGATTACGCATCAGTGACCTGCCTGGTGTGATGCTTCATCCCTGGGATACAGAAACAGAGCGCCGTGCAGAATAATGGAGCACACTTAAGAGAAAGGACAATGGTCTAAGGAAGGAACTAGCCTTACCTGGAGACTCTAGGAAAGATAAACGGGAACCTGCCAGATGTAGGGCAGCGTGGGGCAGAGCAGAGGAAAGGAGAAAAGGGCATTCCAGGCAGCAGGCACAGGCCTGAAGGACCATTTGGAAACACAACACACACACACGGGGCAAAGAGCACAGAATACCGGGGTGGATGGGTAGTCAAACTAGGTGAGCAGGCAGCAGTGCGAACACGGAAGGCCCTGTCTTGACATGCTAAGGAGCTTGGATTCTATCCTTTGAACAATAGGGAAACACAGCCAGATTTGTGACTAAGAAAGTTCACTTTGGCAGTGATGTCAAGATAGGTTGAAAGAGGGTAAAACCAGTTACGCAACTATATCCAAAGGCCAAGCAGACAGAAACCTGCTTAGTCCAGTGGGCACTAAGAGTTCAAAAGCAAAAGACAGAACTATGTGCATTAGAGCCCTGCTCTAGAGGTGGTGTTCAAAACACCAAGAACTACATAAATCCTTCTTCTTCTTTCCTACTTCTCATTCAGCATCACCTTGCACTTCCAAATCTCCTGTCCAGCTTCACCTGCTTTCAACTACTCCCGGAGCCCGGTGTTCTTGGTGCCACAGGTGAAGATAGAGATGGAGTCGGACTATGACTTCACAGACATGGACAGATACCGAAGAGAAGCTGACGGCGAGACCACCCTCTGAGATGAAGCAGCTTCTCCCTGATCAGGGATAGAGGGAAAGTCTTGACTTCTCTGTGCCTGTTTCCTTCTTTACCAGACAGAGGGAGTCCTTTTGCCTGATAGAAAACTGGAGACCTGTCAATGTACTACATAGGTGCAAAGCTCTCCTCTCCCCTTCCCTTTGTAGTTATTAAAACACTTAAAGCTAAATGTTATACCTTATTTTAAAATGCAGTCCAACATTGAAATTATAACATTGCTTTTGAAATGAAAAAATGTTTGTTTCTCAAAACCATAGCTAAGATAAATGGGCAATAGTCAATTTATATTTAAAACAAATAACACTTGGAAAATTTTTTAAAGGTTAGATTTAAATCTAGATGGTCTTAAAATACTCTTACATCAATAGACCATGGTTGGAATGTTTGTTTTGCAGTTTTGCATATTAAGAAATGCTGAAAAGGTCCAATCTTTTCTGTCCATCGCATTCATTTTCTAAGGGTTGTACAAAAAGTTTGAACCGTCTGCATTATGATTCGAATTACAATGGTTCAAACTTCGTCTGCTCCAGAAGTGTGACTGGGACTTTCCCAGATTGAAAAGCCAGTTCCAAAAATCGGTTAATGAAAGAACTCATGCATCTGAGTGGATAAATGTTTCTAAAATAAAAGTTCTTATTAAACTGAAATTTCAAACCACTTGTGAAATCAACAAAATGATCCTTTAAATTAATATCACTGGTTTTTCATAGCTGGAATCACATTTCTTTATGCATTTGGGTAGGTCCTTCCTACAAATTTTCAATGCTGATTCCCAAAGTCAAACTCCCATTCTCACCAACATTACATGTAAAGTAGAGCAAATGTCACATTTTGGAAGATTTTAACTTTGTAATATTAATCGAACTAGTACTTTAAAGGAATGATTGGAAGCAATTTGGGTAAATTAAAATCAGTTATTAATGAAGCAAAACTTTTCCCCATGAAACTGAAGATCAGTCATTTTATCTTCAATCCACACCAACTATGTTTATTTAACACCTACTATGTGCCTGATAGCCACAATGCATCTGACATTTACTTTCTCCAAAACAACTATGGATTTGAATCTTGAGTAAATCACTTTGGTTATAGTTACTACATTTACTCAAGATGACAAATGCAGGTGCTTGCTTTTTTAAAGAAAAATGATACTAGATCATTAACACCTTGAGTACCAGGACTGGTAATTGCCTCTGTAATCCTCAGAACCTAGTATAGTGATTTCCTGGTACATAGAAAGCTCTCAGTAAGTATTTATTAATCTCAGAGCTTCCTTCCAAGGGATACTGCCAAGAGGTAAAGCTCTAAACCTCTACCACTCCTATGATAGCAGAATTACTTAGCTGGTCACTAACCCAGAACCATCTCCTGAGCTTAACAATAAATTCTTGGCCGGGTGTGGGGGCTCACATCTGTAATCCTAGCACTCTGGGAGGCCGAGGGGGGAGGATGGCTCGAGGTCAGGAGTTGAAGACCAGCCTGAGCAAGAGCGAGACCCCCGTCTCTACTAAAAATAGAAAGAGATTAGTTGGACAAGTAAAAATATATAGAAAAAATTAGCCGGGCATGGTGGCACATGCCTGTAGTCCCAGCTACTGGGGAGGCTGAGGCAGGAGGATCGCTTGAGCCCAAGAGTTTGAGGTTGCTGTGAGCTAGGCTGATGCCACAGCACTCTAGCTCGGGCAACAGAATGAGACTCTGTCTCAAAAAAAAAAAAAAAAAGAATAAATTCTTTATCTTCATCTGCACCAATCCTGGGAGAGCTAACAATCTACCCTTAGCATTTCAGTTTTAAAAGCTGGCTGATTTGGAAAAGCGCTTTGTCCAAATCAAATTGCAGAAATGTTATGGATTCAGGAGTGAACCTGCTTGATTGATCAAACAAGCTAGAAAACTACCATGTTAATTTTTGTTGTTGTAATCACTGTAATTTTTACCTTACATGTCATTTATATTTTGTATATACAAGAACATTTTAAATTCCATAGCTTTTAACAGGTTCACATATTATTACTTCTTCATGCAGTAAGTCAGTAATTTTTTCCACTTGTAAGTATAATTCAATAAAATGTAATCCTGTCTGCTCATCTTGCTCTATGTTTAATAATTTAGGTAAGTCAGCAGGCATGGCTTACAGACATGAGCTATACCTCACTTACAAAAACATCTCTGGCAAACTATCATCTTCTTTCATCTAAGAAAACTATCAGAAGATTAAAGCCAGGCCGGGCGCGGTGGCTCATGCCTGTAATCCTAGCTCTCTGGGAGGCCGAGGCGGGTGGATTGCTTGAGCTCAGGAGTTCGAAACCAGCCTGAGCAAGAGCGAGACCCCGTCTCTACTAAAAATAGAAAGAAATTAATTGGACAACTAAAAATATATAGAAAAAATTAGCCGGGCATGGTGGCGCATGCCTGTAGTCCCAGCTACGCGGGAGGCTGAGGCAGAAGGATTGATTGAGCCCGGGAGTTTGAGGTTGCTGTGAGCTAGGATGACGCCACGGCACTCTAGCCCAGGCAACACAGTGAGACTCTGTCTCAAAAAAAAAAAAAAGAATAAAGCCAGCTGGCAGAGGAACAAGGTGGGAGAGAGGTGAACTCCCCAATTGTTCCGCTTTCTCTTTCTGCTGCAAGCTGCCTAGAGCAGGAGCTCCTTCTGCCTGCATGAAACCAAAGCACACGAGGGCCCATCCTGGACTCAACATATGCATAGCAAACATCTTCCAATCTGTCCAATCAAACTAATGCTTTACATACACACACACAGAGAGGAGAGAGAGAGAGAGAGAGAGAGAGAGAGAGAGAGAGAGAGAGAAAGAGAGAAAAGAGGCTACCCCCTTAAATGAATCTTACAGATTAAGCTCCTGGCTTGGCAAAACCTGTCACGACATAATACTGAGAGGACTAGGCTGGTTCCTCCACAGCTCTTTAAACCTGTTTAAGGCCATAGGATCGAGTGTTACCAACTATAGGAATGTCTGCACATTGACTGTGAGAAACTATAGTTAGGTAACAACTAAGACAGTAGCACAAAGACAGCATTTCAGAAATTCATTCCACACAGATGTGTTTTATTAAAAAAGGAAAAATAAAAACCCTTTAATCAGAAAGTCCGAATAAATTCAATACTAACTCAAGCTCTTAAAAATCTTTTGGGAAAGCCAACAGGGTACATCATGGAAAAGCAGGCAGCTGCTGACAATTCTTTGGTGGAAAAGTAAGTTGCATACTTTTATGAGCTGCCCAAATGATTATCAAGCCCAAGTTTTGTTTTTCAAAAATAGGTTTCGACATATCCCAAAGAAACCATAGATACCCTCTAACAATACAAAAATTTAACAATGAAATTTAAGTATGTAGCAAAAGTCAAATATGATAATACATATGAATAATTTATAAAATAAGCCTTTCAGTCATAGAAAACTAAAATGGGGAGACCTCACTGATGGGTAACATATATAAAATGAAGACTAATAGCAAATGACTGAGCCACAAAAAAACAGCTTAGGAAAACTACTAACAGGTAGGTTTTCTTTTTTCCTAGCCAATTCAGTTCTACTTGGATAAACCTGGTTATCCATCAATACATATACAAAGTAGAGTAATTTTTTCTACTCAATTACCACCATTTTTTCCCTTTCACTTCTTCCCTAATTTTCTCTAGCAACATTTTTCCTTTGGTTTGACCAGTTGACCTCAGAAGGTTTAGAACCTAAAATGAGTATCAACTCTTATTGGAATAGCACTTGGGAAATGCAATCCTAGAAAAGGCAAATTTTTAACAGAGGTGGCTTGACAAAGTGAAGCATCCATTCTCAATGTCATGATGTCTCCCGTGTTAGTCCCTAGGTTAATGGCTGCTCTTGGCTACATCACATGACCCAGCATGATACTGGAATGCTCCTTGGTGAGGTACTGCAGAGCCATGTGCACAAATACCCACCCATTTAAGCTTTCAATAAATACAAAGCATCATTTTAAACCATTTCATTAGAATAAATAAAAAATATTGCATTTCTAGTGGCCTGCTTTGCTTCTTGAGCTGGCTTGGAATGCTCTTCATGACAAAGAAGACACAACAGTTAATTAGTGGCTACTCCAAGCTCTTTAGACTTCAGCACTTCCCGCTCTTCGAGCCTCAGCAATTTTTTTGCAGCAATAATGGTGTTCTTCATTAGCATTGCCACTGTCATGGGACCAACACCCCCAGGAACTGGAGTGATGTACCCGGCTTTTTTTCTGACTCCTACATAGAAACAAGACAAGGCAGGCTGCTTCAATTATGACAAAGGACACGTATATACTTTAACATATTATGAAAGAAGCATGCAAAGAAAAAGCAATATATAAAAGCACCTTTATAAGTCTCAAACTTATTTAAAAATCACATCTACATTACTCAAGAGTAAAGGTTTTTGAACACACTAATGAAATAACATGCACATGATAAATAGTTGTTCAATGAACATTTGTACATCTAAATAATCTACAATTTACCAGCCATACTTTTCCTCCATATTAAACAAATTTAAAAAGAAACATTGCAGTAGGTTAACCGTATGGGAGTTACAACTATGATAATAAGCATTACCTTGATGCTTGCCTACGATATTTTCTTAATTTACATGTAATTTGCCAAAGCACCAAAGTAATTTTCTGTAAAGATTTTTTTAACCCAATTTTAAAGGGAAAATCCTTAGATATCTAGCCATGGGTTTGACAGCTTTAATAAAAACAGAAAGCTAGGAATAGGATTATGAGCATAAAATTCAGATAAACATGATACCTTAAGAACTGAAAGATATCCATTTTTAGAGGTTCTTTTGGTGGGGGGGGAGGAAGAACTAGCATATTCCAGTATTTCCAGAATATGGCTTTTTCCTGGACCATTTTACCTTCCTAGGTCTGTGATTTCTCCTCTCAGTGAGAAACTGAACAATCTGTAACACTTTTTAAGAAACTCAATGGTTTAGGAAAATCACTTCATTAAATTTTCAGACTAGTTAAAAGTCATGAAGTTGTTTCCAGTATGAAATAGTCTAAAGGAAAAAACACCTCTCTGAAAATTATGCTCTCCATAATTTTATGATCATCTACGATAATTCTAGAATGGCTCTAATTTTTAAAAACTTTCTCTTAATTCTTGTGAAAAGTATTTTAAACAGTATTACTAAGGTAACATGAGTTTAAAAGTTAAATTAAAAGTAAAGGATCTGTCCTAAATGTCCATTAAGAAAATATTTATTGATTTTTTTCTTTTAATTATACCATTTACCTTCAAAATCCACATCTCCAACCAACTTGGGTTTAGCAGTTATGGGATCTTGAACTCTATTTATTCCCACATCAATCACTGTTGCTCCCGCCTTGATCATATCTGCTGTGATCAGATTTGGAATGCCTGGAAATGGAGATAGGAATAATTAACTTAGTACTGAAAAGAAGATTCTACCTGTCAGATTCTTATCTAATTTCAATTTCAAGAGTCCTGGAAGACTAAATTAACATGTTTTATAAACACCTATTAAAAATATTAATGAAGGAACCATTTAAATTTCATATAGTAAATAGAAATATTTTGAGGCTTCGGGAATAACCTTCACCCATGCAGTCTATAACGGAACGCCAGAAACCAATATTCCAACCACAACTCTATCCTCATCTTCATAGGCAGCTCAAAGTATCATTACTTCGGGGAATGGATGGCAGCCAGGCAAGCAAATTCTAAGAGGTACAACCTCCTACTTCTGAGATGAAGTCCTTCTTCCCTCTCTCTTGTGTTCTTACCTGCAGCAGATACTACAATATCTGCAAGAATTGTATGTTTCTTCAACTGCTCTTTGGGAGTGTATCGGTGACATATTGTAACAGTGGCATCGCCTATAGAGAAAAAAATAGATATCCTGATTTCTGAATCAAAGCTGGGATTGGATTAGGTCTCAACTAATCAAGTCATGATAGAAAGTCAACATCTCTGTAAAATAATTGATTTAATACTTGTATCATATTAATATTTTCTGGACAGCTGTCATTTACATTTTAAAATTAATATGTAATTTCTTACAGCTTTACCATTGGTTCTAGCTATACTATTGGAGCCATATATAATTAAGTTTATTCCTTATTCAATTTAACAGTCTTTCAAGAACTTTACCTTTTCTAAGCAAAATGTCACTAAAATTACTCAAGGTTTGTCTTTTTTTCCCCAATGTATATTGAAAAATATCTGAAAATACAGTTCTGCCATTGTTTCTGATATAATTATATAAGGCCTTATTATAATAATCAACATAACTGATTTATAAGGCCTTTTCTCAGACAAATTAACAGAACTTGATACATTATAGTCATATCAATTTAATTCTTTACAATGGTCTCAGAATTTTTCCACCAAATGACACAGAACAGGATACTAACTTTGAATAAAAACTGCTACTTAGCTCCAACTATCAAAGCTATTACTGGAAATTTCTAATTGTCCACAACCATGCTTATATTCAAAACTTAAACTTATTTCTGAGGCTAGTTCCCTAATAAATGAGTAATAAAGAAATTCTGGCGACACTGAGTACAGCTTCTCTATAAAGGTTACTCCCTGAATACCTGTTAACAAAATTACAATACAAATACAAAGCATAACAAAGTTAATACTTTCAAACACCCACAGGATGGCCACGGAAGGTTCTCACATAAGGAAGAAGAGGATACTGCTCTGAGAGCAATTTCCTTACCTCCAGGACGTTCATGTGCCCCATCGGTGTGTAGTAACATTGCAATGGGCATTCCAACATTTTTAGACCTTCCAGCCACAACCACATTCTTCCCTAGGGTTGGAATACCTATAAAAATATGTGTATATTTGCATTAAAAGTAATGCCAGTCTATCTTAGAATGAGCACAAAAGGAAAAGGAAGTCAGATTGCCTAGAACATGAATCCAATTTTGATAGTGAGCTCACTAAGCTAGCTGCTTCATCAGTCAACTGGAGCTATCACTTGCTACACATGCTGAGGGCTAAAACAAAACAGGAGAAAGCACTCTGTAAGCTACAAAATGTTATATAAATGTGCGCTGTGACCACTATTAAATCTATTAAATCTTAAGTTTCCTTCACTGAGACTTCTGGATTAAAGAGCGAAAATTGCCAGAGGCAACTGTTAAGAGAGGTAATCTCAAGCACTACTATTATAATACTAACACAGACATACAATTCTGGAATATACCTACCAGTTCGCTTAATTATTTCCCACACACCCCAAGGGGTAGCTGGTAACATGGAATACTGGTCCAGACACATTCGCCCTACATTAATTACATGAAAGCCATCAACATCCTTGTCTGGAGAAACAGCATTGCAGATCTTTCTCTCATCAATGTGCTCTGAAAAAGAAATCAGTGTGGTTGTCTTAAATCTCTGTTAGTAGAGCTGCTTGACTCCAGATTTTCTGGTTTGTCATGCAAATCCATTCCCCTTCTATGATTTACTTCACCTGCACAGAAGGAACTCGCATCAAGCAAAGCCAAGTGCCAATATCAAAGCCAATATCCTCTGTGACAACTACTTTCCCCCACTGTCCCTTGTATTAAGATCTCAATGCTAAATCAGGGGGTAATTGGTATTCTGAGTAGCTATGTCCCATTTCTAATTAAATATTCACTCTTCTGAGTTCACCTTGCCTTTAAGTCAAACTCCCATGAAGGGTGAGGTGTAACAAGTAACAAGGCCTCCACTCCTCAGAAATCCTTTTAAATGGCAGAGTCCAAAACTCACCTGGAAGAGGCAGCTGAACAAGGAGGCCATCCACATTATCATCATTATTCAATTTATTGATTAAATTCAACAATTCTGCCTCTGAAATTGAAGCTGGTTTCACAATTGTCTCACTGTTGATTCCTATTATAAGAAAATTTTGTGGTTAAAAAAATATTGAGGCATTTGATGAGCACTGCTACGTTGCCTGCCATGCTCTGTTACTGCACAAGTTTTTTATCATCGCACTCACCCCACCAGCTGAAAAACTGAATCAGCTCACAAGGAACCCAAAAAGTAATTTCACAAATATATACACTAGGTAATACTAGCTAAATACTTCCTGGACATTATTCTATGCAGTTCTCATTAAGCCAGAAAAATTAAAAAACAAGCCAGCTAGTGAGGTAGCCAATCTTTCTGGTTTGAAAGTCGTTCTTTCCACTGTACGGTGCTACCTCCCAATGTCTGAAAATATCATGGCATGCTATTTTCTAGGGTTTCTAAAGGTTTTCAATTAAAAGGGCAGGAGGCCTCCATCCTCAGTGATAAAGAATAGAGTACACCAAGGGCTCAGGGGCCGGTGGCTCAGCCCAGACACAACACTGGTTTCACAGCCCATCAGAAGGAAAGGGAACCTGGTGCTCAGCCCACCGGCCCACATATGAGCAGGTGGAGGCATATCTGAGCCCACCCTCCTCTTGTCTACAGCACCACAAGACCTAGAACACAAACCTTTCATCACCCAGACCCGAACTGCTTCCAAACTGCATGATTGCCTTTGGACTACATCGATGAAAAACTTGAAAGCCATTTCTCAGAAGTCAGAGTCATTTCCTTCAAATGTATGACTGTGTTCTTAACCACATCACTGAGGTCTCCTAATACCGTATTACTCAATTGTTCCCCTACTGCTTTCAACTGCCGACGCCCCACCTCAGTCCAAGACTCGTTATTGCTCAAGGACAGCAAATGTTAAATGTGTTCAAGGTCACCTGTCAAATGTTAAGACTAAGAACAGAATTTAGCTTATATTCTAGAAGACACCAAGAATAGCAACCATATTCCTCCTTTCCTCGTCTATAAACCTCCCCAACAGATACAGCCTGATTTCCTTATGACAAAGTTTTGGATACAGTTCAATCACATTAGCCTCCTCTGCTTGGGTTTTCTAATCAGAAAAAGGAATCATAAATCACAATAGAGTTTGCCTTGCATAAACCTCAGCGTAACAGTGGTTGGAGTTTGAGAGTGACACACACCCACATCTGCAGCGGCTCTGGTTTTGTTGAGGACATAGGAGTGACTTGCAGGATTCTCTCCCACCAGAATCACGCTTAGGTAGGGTCGTTTATTGCCAGAGGCCACCCACTCTTCCACCTCCTGCCGCACTTCCTGCTTGATCTGCTGGGCCAGTTTCCTTCCAGAAATGACAACAGCTTCGTTTCTGTAGAAAGCAACAGAGTTACAAAATCAAATAGCTTGAATTTTTGTAAAAAGTAAAGCTCAGACAACAAAAAGTTATTATTAAAAACCAAAAATTTAAAACTTAGATTAAAACACATGGTGCCTAACCTGAAGGACAACCGAAATCTGAAGGACAGATTCAAAGTGGTAAATTTGTGTCCAGGAGCATGTTTAGGGGATAAAGTTGACAGAAATAGTTGCTGTCATTAATCTGAAGTTCAGAGAGTTTAACTGACTGACAGCCAGTACTCAGCCAAGCTGGGTCTCATGTCAGAGTCTAGGCTGTTAACTGCCACACCACCACCCTGCCTCCTGATCATTGCTAAAGTGACAGGCTTAACAAAAAGAAAAAAAGAAAAAGCTTTCACAGTTTTAATTTGCATTTGACTCCTTCCCACTATAAAGTTTTTCCTTTATGCTAATATGTCATTTGTAGTTCCTATTTTGCCCACGTTGTTAGCATTAGTCATGTATTTCAAATCATTTCCCAGTTAGTCGATTAGCTTTTAATTTTTATAATGCTTTTAAATATACAAATTATGTTACATAGTTAAACCAATAAACGATATACTGGACGAGTCAAACCTCAAAATGCCGACCACTCTCCATAGCCACTTCTAGGGAAGACTTTCCTGGTAAGAAGGGGAAGGAAGGGGACCAGAGGAGTTTCCTTCTTGTAGGCAGCAGTGTGCTCTTCCAGAGGACCCCACTGAGCCATCTGAAGCTGACAGACCAGAAGTGAATATCTGACACCGAGGGCAACAATTTCTAGGCTGGCCAGCAATGCGGATGGTGCAAAAGCTTAGCCCAACAGCAACAGTGACAGTTAGCTGAATCTTTAAGAGCTTCTCCCTGAGGGAGTTCAAAGCAGAACCACAGAAGACCCGTAGGAGCAGCAGGAGAAAGACACAAAAAGAAGAGACAGAGGGAACAGCAGTCACATCAACGGGAGACAATTAGGGCAAGAAATCAGAAAATTGCTGCCACAGATGGAGCACCGAGAAAACTCAGGACCTAGACGACTCTCCAGTTCCTAAAACCATGTGCAGATCTCCAAGAGGCCGTCTCTTCCCAACAAGAACTGGTTACACAGTCGTTCCTGGCTTCCATGAAGCCCAAATATGGAAAATTCCAGATTTCTTATTTCCACACAGGTCCTTACAATAAAGCACCCATTACTTAAAGTAAGGTAAGCATCCCTTCCTTAAGCAAAAAGATCCCACGAAAACAAGTCTTTCCCTTTAGATTTCTGTCCTCAGGGTCATGAGGACTACTCCAACCTCAAGACCAATGAAACATCATTTTCCCCTTATGACATTCATTTAATTCTCAGGGATAACATCAAGGTACTGAATATCTTGTATGGTCACACAGGATTAATTCTCAAGGCCTTTGCTAATTACAATGGAATTCTAAAGCTTTAACAATCTTTGTTTTCAATGCCTGCTTTTTATTTGCACTATGATTAAATACCTACTTTAAGCCAAATCTCAACATCTTAGATATAATGCAATAATTTTATATCTAAATTTTACATTAATATGTACTACATCCTGTGAAGTATTAAGATCTCATAATTTTTTCCCCCAAATTGTATAAGATTTTATTGTAATAAAAATATTTAGATGAGTTTCATAGCTATATATTATCATACAGGTACCCATTGAGGAGGATAAATTGGATAAACAGTACATTTGACAATATCTTACTATATAGCCAATTTAAGTAATTTTAGGGAAAAGAAAAAGATATAAAAGCATCCCTTTTTATGTAATTCCATATTTTTTCCAGACAACACAGAATCAAGATATAATTGTAGATCATTGTAATTCTAAACATTAGAGCCTGTAACATGTAAAAGTTCCGGTTATACATTGCTAGGCATTTGTCAAATGATAATCAAATGCTTTATACTGCCATGAAAGTTTCATTTTATACATTAGCTCACGTATTCTAATCTAGTAAACTCATTTTTTTTCATCTGGTTAGCCTTTGGGTTATTACTTCTCGATACATAATAGAGATGTAGATAAGCAACAAAAAGATAACAAAGAAATCATCTAGAAAGCCTAGAATTCCAAACAAGGCTTCAGGCACAAAATCTAGAGGTGATATAAGGTAGAAAAAAGCTCCCATTAAATAAAGTATTATCCTAATGCGGAACATCCAGAAAAGGCCCCCGACTGAAAACATTTCCCTGAATGCATGCCTCAGTAAAGTGGGTAGATCCATAATTCTTTCCATAATAGATCTGGGATGCCCTGAGAACCTTCAGCTGTAATAATCATTAATATCCTGATGCAATCGTACAGCATCCTGAGACCGATCATCTTCATCAAATACCGTCAGGAGTAAAGTTACCGTTTGTCTACAGATTGGACAACTGATTGCCCCAAGCCATGAACCATATCGCCAGTAAGCAATAACGTAGGCACCACAAAAACGGTGTCCACAGTTTGTTTCAACAGGGAAGGAGGCTTGATGTAAACAGATCGGACAGTACATGTCAGTGTAGAACTGCTGTCGAGCAGCAACGGGTGCATCCTGCTCAGTTTGAAGTTGTTCTCGAAGCACCCTTAGTAGCTCTTGGTTTTCCGGGTGAATATTTTGATGTACATTTCTGAAAAGTGCACATACCAGGGTAGCAACCAAAGCGAAACTGACCACAAGTGCCCCAAGTACCTGGTCACTTACTCCTTCTATAACTGCATCATCATCCAATTTCAAACTCTGAACTTCACCTTGATATCTGGCCATTACAGGTCTCGAGCCACCGGGACGCCTCCACGTCGGCCCCTCAGCCATCTCCGGGGGACTCCGGACAGGAATCAGGTGATTCTGGGGCTCAGTCCGCGGACGCCCGAAGGTAGGCGGAGCCCTAGGGGGTAGGAGGCGGCGACGCCCCCGCCCCTTCAAGCCCGGCTGCGGGCGACCCCCGCAGGTCAGGGCCGAGCGGGTCAAGATCTCATAATTTTATAGCAAATCAAATACTTTTACCCACATTTTATGTAATGATAGTAGCATGGCACAACATACATAATAGCATTTAATTTATATCCATGGTCTGTTAAAGAATTGAAAACATGTTAACATTCACAAATCCATTTCAGAATTAGAGTAGAAGAGGACTTCAATAAAAGGGCTTTGCTGATACAAATACTCCTGGCAACATTCCTGATATATATTAGTACCTGGAATACCTGCCCCAAGCCAGAAATACATTTCCAACCCTGGAACACTACAGAGTGAAAGACTACTTAAAAAGGGCTTAGGACAGTCATTTATATTGAATGAAATAACATATATAAAGTGCAAGGCATATATGTTCAATAAAACTAATTCCATCCTCTCTTCTCTTGACTTTATATATATTTATACATATATGCACACACATACATATATACCCTTAATATATAACAGATTTATGTATACATACTCATAAGGAGATATTTATGTTTATATCCTATATATATAAATACTCAGTGAAGACTTTGTTTGTACTTCATAAAAAGTTTCTTTTGAAAGCAATAAACTTAGATAAAATGTTAGCAGCACATTCAGATAAAATTGATATACTAAAGTTAAGGACACAGGGTTCTGGGAGAAGCCAGTGTTCCAAGTCCCAATCTTTGCTTCCAAAGGCAGGTTCTGGATGTTATGCCAATTTGCTTTAAAAAAAAAAAGTCAAAGACTAATACAAGCCAAAAACAAAGCCACAGTGCAATATAACTGTGTCTTAGCCCTTCCCACAACTCTGCAAAACATGGAACACAGCCTTGGGAGTGAGTTATTAACAAACTTCCCATCAGTTTGACAACAGGCAGATAAAGTAAACCACTACCCTAAAATAAACAGGGCAATGGAAACTCAGCTCAGTTCCACAGGGAATCCTTAAATTACTATATTTTTTTTTTCAGGCAGAGGTTTGCTTTGTCACCCTGGCTAGAGTGCGGTGGCATCAGCCTACCTCACAGCAACCTCAAACTCCTGGGCTCAAGTGATCCTCCTGCCTCAATCCTCCTGCCTCAGTCTCCTGAGTAGCCGAAACTACAGGCTGAGCACCACCACACCGGGCTAATTTTTTCTATTTTTAGTTGCCCAGCTAATTTTTTCTATTTTTAGTAGAGACGGGGGTCTCGCTCTTGCTCAGGCTGGTCTCAAACCCCTGACCTCAAGCAATCCTCCTGCCTCAGCTTCCCAGAGTGCTAGGATTACAGGCATGAGCCACCATGCCCAGAAGAAATTACAATCATATTAGCTAACATTTATCTAGGAATTAAATGCTTTCACAGATGTATTTAGAAAAATTTCCATTAACATAATGAATCAACAGACTAGAAAATCAAGAGGACTACTTAAATAAAATTCAGAACTAAAATCCAAGTCAGTAGCATCTTCATTTTCCTCTTAATTCAATAGCTCACAATACTGTAATTTTCCATGAAAAATTAATATTGGGGCAATTTACAATTCAAAATCAAGTTATTTGGGGAAGAGTTTTACTATCTACTAATTAATGGGACCAGTAATGAGTAAGAAAGACACAAAAGGGAATGGGACCAACATCTATTAAACACTAGGTATTTTGCTAAGACTTTTATATACGACTACAGTTACCTTGAGGCTATTAGTAATAACCCTGCTACACAGAAGAGGAAACTCAGAATAGTAGAAACAAGATTAAAATGCAAACTTCTGCTTCCAAAGTCCATTTACCCTATACATGACTGTCTCCTAGGCCACAGTACTCTCTCCAACCATGAGGTTTATGTTCCTGAGACCTTTATACTAAACAAAAATAAAAGGAATACATGCGGATTCATATATTTAAAAAGATATAATTGTTTTACATTTACCCAGCCAGCAGTAAGCAAAGCAATACATGGAAACTGTAAATACCAAATGTGCAGTAAAGATACTGTGGATTGCCTTCAGAGATGTGGAGCCTACTTGTACATTCAGGAAGGCAGGTGAAAAGAGCATTTATTATTGGAGAGTGTAAGCAAACTGATCTAGTTCTTTGGGGAATGAATTGGAGGATCTTTATAAATCTCTTTTCAATCACAAAAGCCTATAACAAGGTCTTGCCCCAAGGCACATGCAGCCAGCACTCAGGAGGCGGGATAGGGGAGAGAACAGACAGCAATGAAAGATGAGGTTGGAAAGGCAGGTCAGCGTCTAACCAAAGAATGTCCCCTTCCAAGTCTTCCTTAAAGAACTCATTAATACACATTCTGTGTTCCAACAAGCAGCGCTTTGGAAATGTCTCTAACCCTGAGAGGAAATTGCATTTGACAGGAACGTGAGTTCCACTAAGGAAAGAAGAGTTTTTATCATCTCTAACTTTGCACAGGCTAGCACAGTGTCAGGCACAGTGAACGTTTGCTGGAAAAAAGAAGGGGCTGCAGTTATAAGGCGCAGGCCTCTAGCAATACGAACGCTCTAAAGATTGACAGGAAAGAGGGTGCACAGATGTAGGGAGAGAAATCACAGCCTCCCTTCAACCTAAGTTTAGAAATGGGAGTTTGAGGTCCGGAGAGATTAGGAAAAATCAACCTCTATAAAGAAATACAAATAGAGCTTTTCCTTTCCTTCTGGGTATTTTTTTTTTCTATTTTTTTCTTATTGAGGCAAAATACACATAAAATTTACCATCTTAACCATTTTTAAGCGTACAGTTCAGTGGTATTAAGCACATTTATATTGTGAAATCATCGCCACTAACCACCTCCAGAACTCTTCATCTTATAAAAGTGAAACTATACGTCGTCATGAAACAATAACTCTCCATTCCCCGTTCCTCCCATCCCCTGGCAACCTCCTGGGTATTTACCATCTCAAGTTATCCGGCCTGGCACTAACCGGCTCGAAGTGGGCTGCAGTCAAAGCCTTGGTGACCACAGTGCATTCATTCTTGGCGAGCAAGGGGCACCTTAAGGAGCAGCGCGAGCCACACCCACCCCCGAAGGCGGGGCCCGTGCGGGTACCCAGCGAGCAAGCCGGCTCGCGGATTTCATCAGACTGCACCGACGCCCTCCGCCGCTAGGGTCCCGGGCAGGGACGGCTCGCTCAACGCTGCTCTCTCTGAACCTCCCTGGCGCTCGCCAAAGGGTCTCCCTGCTGTCCCCAAGACAACTCTCGGCATCACAGCCAGGGGCGGCCGGCAGGCTCTGGCCGGTAACCTTCGCATGCTCCCACGTAATCTGGGACGCCCAAGGCCCGTCTGCACCCTCGCTCCGCACTGTCGGCCCGGTCCCGCCGGCAGACTGGCTCCGAGAAGACCTGGCGATGCCGGGAGCACGCGAGAGACCGGCTCCCTCCGAAAGGCTGGCTCCCGGTGCCAGGCCACCCCGCCAGACCCCCCTCAGCGGCCACCACCGCCGGGGCAGAGATGCTCAGGGAGGACGTTCCTGGGCGGCCTTCCACCCTCCCTTCCCCTCGGCTTTCCATGCTGACCCAGCTCCCAGACCCACTTACCGAACTGCCGCGAGGTGGAAGGGGCGATGGCGAAGACAACAGCTCTGCGCGGGGCGGAACAGCCGAGCGGCCAACGCGGACATAAGGGAAGTTGCAGCCATAACCCCTGCCGGTGCCCGCGCCGGGAGGAAAGCGCGCGCGCTGGGGTAGCGCGGTTATAACGCGGCCGCGTGGCAGGCCCCGCCTCCCGCCGACTCCCATTGGTCTCTGCGCCACGCCACTGGCTGTCTGTTGGGCCCGCTGGAGCTGAAGGAGCCAATCGGTTGTCTTCACTAAACGTAAGCAAAGCCTAGAAGAGCCCTGCTTTTGATTGGAACGAGAAGAGCCTAGAGCGAGGCCCTGGAAGGCTCGGGAGCCTCGGTAACATGCTGTGATTGGCTGAGAAAGTCAAGCCCCTGCCTGACTCAGCTCCTGTCACTGAAGCCCGGCCACCGCGAGCGAAAGTTCATTCATTCATTTGTCGAACCGAAATATCTGAGCGCCTACTGTGTGCCAGGCACTGTAAAAGGAGGATGAAAAGACAGGCAGCTAGAATACCAACAAATGAATGTAGAAGAATTGACGAGGTTATAAAAATCACCATTTGGCAAAATCATAGTAAAATCTGATTCAAAGTCCTCAATGGATGTCAAAACAACTGGGTGAAAGTTGGATGCGGAGCAAGATATTTACATATAGGATTGTCAGATCTCGCAAACGAAAACACAATACACCCAATTAAGTTGGAATTTTAGATAAAAAACTTTTGGAAATCATAGTTATACTTGAAAAAGTATTTGTTGTTTATCTGGAATTCAAATTCAACTGGGCTTCCTGTATTTTCTCCGGCAGCCCTTTTGTATAGTCTCAAAGTATCTCTTCCCTCACACACAAAAAAATATTAATACCAAAAAAAGAAAATGGTAAATTTACAATGGAGAAAACTGACAGTTATCACCTCACCCAAGTGACCAAAATTAACATCATCCAATAACAGAACAAACACACATGATGTGCCTTCTGATATGATGCATTGAGGACACAACACTTCGTAGCTTTTAACAAGTCTGAAAATTTTAATGAAATTATTTTCCTAAACCAATGAGTCTCCTAAAAACTGTTACAAATTTCTCATTTTCACATTGAGAAGAGAGATCACAGACCCAGTATACTAAAACTATCCAGGAAAAAAACACAGCCCTGAAGTTTTGGAACATGCTAGTAGATCTTAATCTAATCATGAGGAAATATGAGACAAGCCCAAAGTGAGAGATATTCTACAAGATAAATCAGATAAATCACCCGTGCTCTTTGAAAAGGTCAAGGCCATGAAAGACAAACAATGAGGAATTGTTCTAGATAGGACAACTAAATGCTGCGTGATTCCGGATTTGATTATGGACCAAAATTTTTTTTTTCCTTTTTTTTTTCTTTTTTCTTTTGCCATAAATGACATTGTAGCACAATTGGAAAAATATGAAAAAAGTCTATAATTAGGTAATAGCATCGTATCAGTGTTAATTTCCTGATTTAGCTAATCATATTGTGGTAATGTAAGAGAATGTACTGTACTTGCTTTTAAAGATAAAGGAACATCATGTCTACAACTTACTTTCAGATAGATCAGAAAAAAATAATGTTATGTATTAGTTTGCTAGGGCTACCATAAAATACCACAGACTGGGTGTCTTAAAACAACAGAAATTTATTTTCTCACAGTTCTGGAGGCTAGAAGTACAAGATCAAAGTGTTGACAAGGTTGGTTCCTCCTGAGGCCTCCACCCTTGGCTTGCAGATAGCTGTGTGCTTGCTGCGTTGTGGCCTTTGCTCTGTGCACCTGCATCCCTGGTGTCTCTCTCTGTATGTCTTAACTTCATTTTATAAGTGCACCAGTCAGATCTGATTAGGGCTCACCCTAACAGCCTCATTTTAACTTAATTATCGCGTTAATGTTCCTATCTCAAAATACAGTCCCATTCTAAGTTTAGGGTTTCAACACTGAATTTTAGAGGGGACACAATTCAGCCCATAATGATGTATATACATAAACAGAAACTGATAAAAATGAATGGCAAATGTAAGATATTAACAACTGGAAATGGCCAGGTGCAGTGGCTCACGCCTGTAATACTAGCACTCTGGGAGGCCGAGGCAAGAGGATCGTTTGAGCTCAGGAACTTGAAACCAGCCTGAGCAAGAGTGAGACCCCCGTCTCTACTAAAAATAGAAAGAAATTAGCTGGACAACTAAAAATATATAGAAAAAATTAGCCAGGCGTGGTGGCGCATGCCTGTGGTCCAAGCTACTTGGAAGGCTGAGGCAGAAGGATCGCTTGAGCCCAGGAATTTGAGGTTGCTGTGAGCTAGGCTGATGCCACAGCACTCTAGCCCAGGCAACAGAACAAGACTCTGTCCCAAAAAAACAAAACAAACAAACAAACAAAAGAACTGGGAATGTGGGTGAAGAGTATACAAGAATTTTTTGAACTTGTCCTGCAACCTTTCTATATGGCTGAAATGATTTAAAAAAAAAAGACCAATAATATTTCTGCCCTCATGGGGCGTGGGGTAAAGCAGACATATGGAACAAGAGAAGAGACTAAGGAAAAGAATGTGGTGCTGAGAACCCTCAAGGCAGCGGATATGAAAAGTTGTATAGGTCAGGGTGTGGCCTACAATTTGTAGGACTGGGTGTGAATAATTTGCAGAACCTGTCCCCAGCAAGCTGTGATGACGAAGCACCTTACAATTACTTGGACCTTGGAACAGTGACCAGGAAGAGAGAAAGGAAACTGACATGTCTGCTTTCAAGAAACCTAACCCTTCATCCACCCTGCAAAATTTTGGAAATTCTCTTTTACCAAATGGGAACTCTCAAGAGTGAAACCCTGTGTGAACATTATCATATAGTTTTAATATGCTCAACGAAAGGATCTGTTTCTATGATCCCACAGTATTCTGCTGTATTAAAATATCATTTGTTTAACAAAAATATTTTATGCCCCAATTTTTAGTCCAAATTCTTTGGGGTGGAGGTGCTCAGTCCCTTCTACACCCCAGCCCCAACTAGTTTTTCTGCCTGACCTTTCCTGGCTCTGACCTCCACTGAACACACCCTGCACTTCTACAGGGTGTTTGCTTGCACTCCTCTCTCTCTGCTCCCTGAACCCCAGAGCGCACCACTTAAAAGCCTGCCCCCTAGGCCTCTACTCTAAGTGGGCCCAAATGTTTCATAGATACAAAAGGAGGCATCGGGACCACATGCAGGCAGAAAAACATTTTTATTCCAGCACCACATGGACAGGCAGAATGCATCATCCTCTTCTCTGGGCTAGTATAGCATGTAGGAATACTCCTATTTCAGCCCTCGGAACAACATCTTGAGGTTGTTTGTGCACCTGTTTCTCTCCAACAATACAATGTGGGCTTATTTAACCAAGACCATTTATATCTCATGACTCATCTCATTCATCTCCACCATGCAAGCTCAAAGCACATAAATGACCAAACATCTATCAATAATCATTCTAATAATAGCTGATCTTTATTGAACACTTACAATGTGGCAGGCACTATTTTAAGCATGTGGTATAATATAATATGAAATATATTTGGTCTTTGTCCCTGGCTCCTGTCACAGAGCACCTAAAACTGAGTGACAGGAGTGTCTTTAGTTATTTATAATGGCCCCTTTCAGATCACCTGACCTGATGCTAATGAAGTGACTTAGAATGGACCCTCCAGACAGCCTCAGGATGGGGCCGGTCACCAGAAAGACCTGATGATTAGAGGATTAGAGGATTGGCCTGTCGACCCAAAAGAAAGAGGCTGAGGCACAAAATATAATTTATAGAATTTACTTGGGCCAAAGTGAGGACAGCTTCCCAGAAGATTCAAACCCAAATAACCTTGGATATGAGCTCCCTTCAGCCTTTGTTACAAGCAGGCTTTGAAAGGCAAAAAAGGGAGACTGGGAATGGGCTGATACAAAGTTGTTTGTCAGGAATTCTCTTTGGCTTACAGAAATAACATGGATTAGTGCTTGGCTACACATTGTTAAACTATAGAGTGTGGGTTACAGGGTCCAATGTGGCATTATTAGATTAACTTTTAGCTATTTGTGGCAATAGCAAACAGTTTCAAGAGATGAATACATAGCTCAAAGGGGGAAGTCGGACCTCATGAATGTCTCATTTTAATGTCTCTCTGCTACTGATAATTTAAAAGGCCTCAGGTAAAAGTTCTTTTTTTTTCCCCAGGAATTTTCAGCCCCACCCACTGACCTCCAGGAAGGTGGTATTTGGGACTGGAGATCAAGCTCTACAAAAACATTTCTTTTCTTTAGATACAAGGTCTCACTCTGTGACCCAGGCTGGGGTACAGTGGCAACAGTCTTAGCTCAGTGCAGCCTCCAACTCATAGGCTCAAGCAATCCACTTCCCAAGAACCTGGGACTACAGGCTGCCACCACACCTGGCTAATTTTTTAATAACTTTTTGTAGAGACAAGTTCTCCCTGTGTTGCCCAGGCTGATCTTGAATTCAGCCTCAAGGTATCCTCCCTCCTTGGCCTACCAAAATGCTGGGATTATGGGTGTAAGCTACCATGCCCAACCTATAAAAACTCTTGAACAGGATGTGATGAGCTTCTGGGGTGCTGAACATGCAGAGGCCCAGAGAGGGCAAGAAAGCTCTGTGGCCGCCCACCTCACTCCATGCATCTCTTCAACTGGCTGTTCAACCGTATCCTTTGTAATACCCTTTATAATAAGCCAATAAACGTGTTTCCCTGAGTTCTGTGAACAATGCCAGCAAATTAATTGAACCCAAAGAGGGGATAACAGAAGCCCCCATTTATAATTGGTCAGTCAGAAGTACAGGTGACAACCTTGCAACTGACATCTGAAGTGGGGAGCAATCTTATGGGATTGAGCCCATAACCTGTGGGATCTTCTAACTCCAGGTCAGAATTGAATTGAATTATAGGACACCCAGAAACCCTCACACATCTGATCACAGAAGGGGTCTGTGTTGAGTGTGTGAGTAGAGAAAAAAAGTTTCTTTTCCTTTTATAAGTACTTTATGTACATTATGCTATTTAATTATCACAACAACCCCATGAAGTAAGTGTTATTATGATCTTCATATTACACACAGGAAAAATGAGGCATAGGAGGTTTAAAGAATAGGTCCAAGGTCATAGAGC